TGGTCTCGAACTCCCAGACTCAGGTGATCTGCCCACCTCAGCCTCCCAAAGTGCTGGGATTACACGTGTGAGCCACCATGCCCAGCCTGAAAATTTTAATTTAAAAGAAAAAAAATCAGCAGAGACAGCTGGACAGAGAAGCCTCTGGAGCTCCGTGTCCAAAGGAATAGGGCACACTTACAACTATAATTTTTGGAGATCTGGTTTGCTCAGGTGTCAGTACACCCTGAGGTGTCTGCTTAAGATCAATTCTGTCACCAGAGAAAAGCCTCAAGTTAGAGCATTTGTTGAGTTCTTGCTCTATGCCAGGCACTGTACTAAGCACTTTTTGTGCACTGCTTAGTCCTCCAAAACCCTGAGATAGACACCGTTATTACTTCTTTTTTTTTTTTTTTTGAGACAGAGTTTCGCTTTTGTTACCCAGGCTGGAGTGCAGTGGCACGATCTCTGCTCACCGCAACTTCCGGCTCCTGGGTTCAGGCAATTCTCCTGCCTCAGCCTCCTGAGTAGCTGGGATTACAGGCACGCGCCATCATGCCCAGCTAATTTTTGTATTTTAGTAGAGACGGGGTTTCACCATGTTGACCAGGATGGTCTCGATCTCTTGACCTCGTGATCCACCCACCTCGGCCTCCCAAAGTGCTGGGATTACAGGCTTGAGCCACCGCGCCCGGCCCTATTACTTCTTTTAACAGATGAGGAAACAGGCTAAGCCAGTTTAAGTAATTTGCCAGAGATCAAAAGGCTAGTGTGGTGAATTGGGGATCTGAGATCAGGCCTTGGGGCAAGGTCAAGGCCCTTAACTTGCGTAAGGTTGTGCTGCCTGCCATCTAGTACTTATTGCAATGTCTGCTTCTGCCTGGATTGTCATCCCCTCATCCCTCTGCCCCACTGTCAGAGAAAAATGTTCCCACTGAGTCTCTTTATAGCCATCCTGTCAGAAAGGACAAAAAAATACTGGCATGGTTTTGGAACTCAAGTCCTCTGAATAAGCCTAGGCCTTCTGAGTTCAAAAGTTTCTCCTATGAGGTGTCAACCTCTGCCTCCCAAGTTGGCACATCCAGAACTGTGTCAGCCTGGCAGGTTGGAGGTGATCTCAAGCCCTGCTTTTACATTGTACAGCTTCCTCTTTCTTGGTCCTGGGCTTAAGAACAAGGGAGTCAGAGGCCGGGCGCGGTGGCTGACGCCTGTAATCCCAGCACTTTGGGAGGCCGAGGCAGGTGGATCATGAGGTCAAGAGATTGAGACCATCCTGGCCAATATGGTGAAACCCCATCGCTACTAAAAATACGAAAATTAGCCGGGTATGGTGGCGCATGCCTGTAGTGCCAGCTACTCAGGCAGCTGAGGCAGGAGAATCACTTGAACCTAGAGGCAGAGGATGCAGTGGGCTGAGATTGTACCACTGCACTCCAGCCTGGCAACAGAGCGAGACTCCATTTAAAAAACAAAACAAAACAAAACAAGGGAGTCAGGTTAAAGGTATTTGTTTCTAATAATCTTTGCCCAAGAACAGAAAGTATTTTAACCTGTATACCAGGAGGTAAGATTCATGTTAGCTCTGTGTCGTTCACCACCAAATCCTTACTGAATTCTAAAAAGAGTGCCTAGCATGTAGCTGAGACTCAATTAACTGTGAGAATGAATGAATGAATAGTGGAACGAGCATACTGAATGAGGTAAGAACGAGATAACTGAATTCCTAATTGCAAAGTATACAGCAATTAACTGGGTTATATAAAAGTGAACTGTGTACAATGGTGGCTTTATGTTTTCTAGAAATAGGAGACATCAAGCTAAAACACTGGAAAATCCAAAGCAAGAGGAAGAAATGTTTAAAAACCAGGGGGTTGGGGTGGTGCGAGGGAACAGGGCATTCCAGATAACTTAGCCTCCCCAACTCCCAAACAAATACCACCAAACACACGTTCAAACTGAGAAAAAGCAGTTTTAATAGCACACACACGTATTCATAGGAATTTAACAAGATGTAGTATAAAAATCTTTAAAAAAATAAAAGGAAAGAAAACAAAATCTGTATTTTACTGCCTAAGAGCTGGTGGATTAATAACTGGCTGACAGGACTGCCCAGGGAAAACAAATGCACAGATAATGAGGTACGCCGACACTGTTCAGGAGTAAGGAATGCCCACAGATCACGCTAGCTGCTCCACACGCCCAGCCACCTGTACCCTACTCTTGCCTCCTTAGAGACAAGGCACCACAGTCATCCCCTATTTCTCCAACTTCGTAGCTTGTTTAAGGGGCTACCTCTTAAAATTTTTATTTTTCATTGAAAAATTATCCTTGGCTTAAAGACGCCACACATTATTACTGGCCAGTCCCCACCAATTATATTTGTTTTGATAACAATAAAAATGCAAATACTCCAACTAAGTCTGGATGATAACACACCATTTTCTATCTTTTACGTTTGAGCAGATTTTTGTGAAGTTGAAAGCAGGCTACTAGTTGCGCTTCAAAGCGGAAACAAAATGCCAGCCTTCCAAAAGGTGACAAAGGCACCACTGCCATTAGGAGATAGAAAATGTACAAATGTTGTTACTTTACGGCTACGTCGATGCGTTTTGTGCATGGAGAGCCTCTTCACTTAATGTGATAAAACTAGTAGAACTATATTTTCAGATAATAAGAAAAGCAGTTAGAAAAGACAGTTACACACAAAAGCATAAACACTTACAAGTACCTTAATGTGCAGCTTGCAAGATAGGTAATAAGTTTGCCATACATATCCAGAAAATTAGACAAGGTGATTTTTGGCACAGTAATATTGCCAAACACACCACCACTCAGTGCAAGCTTTGTTTGCCAAGTCCCCAAAGTGGCCTGACATTCTCTGTGCAATGAGCATTTCTCCCTCTCTACCACCCCATTCACTGGGCAATAGCAGCAGGAGGGAGACAAAGCATGGGGACTCGAGGGAGAAGAAAAATACTTGATTTGGAAGAAAAATCATGGGCTACTTGTGCTAAAAGAGAGTTACAAAACTTTCATGAGAACCCAAATGCAAATACTGACTGGACTATGACCTGGAGTCTGAATACCTCTACCAGAGTCATAAATATAAAGGCCTAAACTCACATCTGGCCATTTATTTTAAAGGGACAATTAAGTATTTTTTCTAAAGGAGAAATACAATTACAAATAGATATATATTTTTTTCTTATTGGAACTGTTAAATAAAAATGTATCAAAGTGGTTTTAAATTTGATGGGCAGTTATCTGTTGAAACTGCAATACAAAAGGGCCATTTAAAAAAAAAACACCTGAATAACCCATTTGTCCCCCCATCAATGTACACAATTAGAAAATATTTACACACTGTAAATTACAAGCAATATAAGCAGTATTTTATACTTTGAGATTTTGTACACTTTACACAATGCAAAATGAGAAAAATATGAACACGTATAAAATTACACACGAATAATGTATCTACAAAGGATTAAATTACAGAATGAAAGCCCGCATTGTTGGGCAGATAGATGCCAGAGTTTCAAGCTTCCGTCAAATATAACTCTTTGTATCTATCTCTTTAACCATAAATGGCATTTTGTAACAATACCCTTTAGAGGTAGCATCAAGATAATAAGATTCTCACCAGTAAACAACACAGAATAAAACTTTTGTTGGTCTGACTCTTGGAGCCTCAATCAGTCTAGGTTCTTGGAAACTGGATTTACTTAAGTCTTCCCTATAAAATCTCTGACTGCCCAATGCTTGACATGAGCTCAAAAGTTACTGATGCTATTTTAAATGACAAATTTAAGACAAAATGCTTTTGACTCCTAAGCCTCAATTTAGAGGTAGAAAGTTATTTTCTTCCCTCTCAAACGACAAACATCAAGTCCAGTTTCCGTTCCCTTCCATCAACCTTTCCTCCCACAACTGCAGACACTAGAGCACTCAGGAGAACAGGTCACTCAAGCCAACACCGAAAGAACAACAAAAAAAGTTGGTATTCTTTCAGGAAACAAGCCCTCCTAAAACGGACAACTAGTCAATAAAATAATTTTTTTTAATTGGCTAGTAAGAGTTCGTCACTACCCCTGGGCTAAAACCAGCATGTGCACTTCCACTAACCCTCTACCATTCAAACCAAAGGATGGCTTTCCAGTGTTTTAAGAATTTAAAGCAGCTGTGGTTTTGAAGTGCAACAATTTCAAGATACAAGCATGTGCACGCGCGCGCGCACACACACACGCACACACACACGCACGCACACACACACAGACACAGTGTCCCAAAGAATGAATGAACACCATTCAGGTCTCTGCCAAAGTTACATACTCGTGGAAACAAGGTTGTTGGAAACTTGTCCAGATCTTTAGGCTTTTACAACATGGACTTCTGTAATATGGTTACCAAGAGCCAGCATTCTAAGATTTAGCCAAGATTCTAAGATTTAAACAGTATTTAAAATATATGCATTTAAAAGAAATCCAGAACAAACTACATATGAATGTTCTGGCATAAAAACAGAGCCACGACCTTATAGCTTACTCTTCCCCTTAAGGGGATTGGACAACATCAAACGTGTTTCTCAACTGTTTGTTAAATGTATTTTATTTTAATTTATTTATTTATTTTTTTTTTGAGATGGAGTTTCGCTCTTGTTGCCCAGGCTGGAGTGCAATGGCGCGATCTCGGCTCACCGCAACCTCCGCCTCCTGGGTTCAGGCAATTCTCCTGCCTCAGCCTCCTGAGTAGCTGGCATTACAGGCACGCGCCACCATGCCCAGCTAATTTTTAGTATTTTTAGTAGAGACGGGGTTTCACCATGTTGACCAGGATGGTCTCGATCTCTTGACCTCGTGATCCACCCGCCTCGGCCTCCCAAAGTGCTGGGATTATAGGCTTGAGCCACCACGCCCGGCTAAATGTATTTTAAAAACACATTTATAATCTTGAGTAATGAAGGAAAACGCATGGACTGAAACCTCCCTGTGGTTTATAAAAGTTACAGAAGAGATTTATGCTTTTTTTTTTTTTTTTTTTTTTTTTTACTAAACTCAATTTTAAGCTTTCCCTTTGTGTCCTAAAATAACCAAGAGGGAAAATGAAACCCAACTGGAACTTGGTCTTGATTTCCATGTCCAACTTCTCAAGCTGGTCCAAGCTCTTTCTTATATATTTCCTGTGATTATGCAAGTGACAAAAATACTATCTAAAAAAGATAACTGGCTTATAATTTAATAAGAGGAGTTACTGGGGCAGTTTAGACATGTGACTATTAGCTGCTTCTACCCCTCCCCTGTTTTATTAAGAGTCTGCTCTTTTAAAAGGTCAGTTGCCTTAACAATTAAGCAGATCACATTTCATATCTGCTTCGGAAATGGCAATTTCTTCATTACCAGCTTCATACTAGATATTCAAGTGGCATATTTGCTGTATATTTTCTTGGCATTCCATTGGATTCTGTAATAACTCTTTCTACTCCTCTAAGGAAGGCTCTTACTGAATTTCTCTTGGTTGATATTTTTTGCTGCTGTACTCCTATTAAGAATCTGGTACCCAGAAGTCATGAAGCTGCCCCTAAAAAAGGGAAGGAGAAAAGAGAGGGTAAAGGAAAATTTAATTAGATTATGGACTAATCCTTATAAAACTACTAATCATCAGACAATGGATTTTGACAAGACAAGTAATAAAATCTTTATACTGATTTCTCTGAAAATTTATGGTAATCAGATTCAAATTTCACATTCAGTGGTCAAACCAGAAAAAAACAGTATAAAGTAAGTGCAGGATGTTTTTCCCACCACTGCACAAATGGAGGGACTTAGTTAAGCAGATTAAGTAATGTTAAGCTGCTTAGTATAGTTTTGCTATTAAATTATTTTCTGTGGTTTGTTTTTTTTGAGATGGCGTTTTGCTCTTGTCGCCCAGGCTGGAGTGCAATGGCAAGATCTTGGCTCACTGCAACCTTCGCCTCCCAGGTTCAAGCAATTCTCCTGCCTCAGCCTCCTGAGTAGCTGGGACAACAGGTGTGAGCCACCATGTCCAGCTAATTTTTGTATTTTTAGTAGAGACGGGGTTTCACCATGTTGACCAGGACGGTCTCAATCTCTTGACGTCGTGATCTGCCCTTCGCAGCCTTGCAAAATGCTGGGATCATAAGTGTGAGCCACCACACCCAGCCCTATTTTCTGTTTTAATATCATGTCAGTACATGACAACCATTAAAATAAAATCTATTAAGGTTAGAAACAAATACAAAAACAACAAAACATAAGTTTAAGATTTCTCAAAAACTTCAAATAGCGAGATTGCTTTATCTAGTTAATATTCAGTGTTCCTGTTTTTTTTGATATAAAATATAAGCAACTTCTAGGCCCTGGCTACTCAAAGGTTAGTCCCCTGGACCAGTAGCATTGGCATTAATTGGAGAACTTGTTAGAAGTACAGAATATCTCAGTTCTCACTCCAGATCTATGAGTCAGAATCCATATTTCAGCAAATTCCTAGTTGATTCTTTTTTTTTTTTTGAGACGGAGTTTCGCTCTTGTTACCCAGGCTGGAGTGCAATGGCGCGACCTCGGCTCACCGCAACCTCCGCCTCCTGGGTTCAGGCAATTCTCCTGCCTCAGCCTCCTGAGTAGCTGGGATTACAGGCACGCGCCACCACGCCCAGCTGATTTTTTTGTATTTTTAGTAGAGACGGGGTTTCACCATGTTGACCGGATGGTCTCGATCTCTCGACCTCGTGATCCACCCGCCTTGGCCTCCCAAAGTGCTGGGATTACAGGCTTGAGCCACCGCGCCCGGCCCCTAGTTGATTCTTATGTGCATTTGAGAAGCATCATTTTAGACAAGTCTATACCAGTTATTCTATAAACAAGCAGGCTAGCACACTTACTAGCAGGTGTTAAAAAAAGAATGTCCCTCTTAGGCAAAGATTCCTTAGATATATCATCAAAAAAAAAGTGACAAATATGTACATATAAAAAATAAAGGCCGGGCGCGGTGGCTCAAGCCTGTAATCCCAGCACTTTGGGAGGCCGAGGCGGGTGGATCACGAGGTCGAGAGATCGAGACCATCCTGGTCAACATGGTGAAACCCCGTCTCTACTAAAGGTGCAAAAAATTAGCTGGGCATGGTGGCGTGTGCCTGTAATCCCAGCTACTTAGGAGGCTGAGGCAGGAGAATTGCCTGAGCCCAGGAGGCGGAGGTTGCGGTGAGCCGAGATCGCGCCATTGCACTCCAGCCTGGGTAACAAGAGCGAAACTCCGTCTCAAAAAAAAAAAAAAGAAAAAAAAAAAAAAAAAAAAAAAAAAATAAAGGAAAGGCAACATGCAGAATGGAAGAAAATATTTACAAATTTATCTCTCTAATAAGGGATTTGTATCCAGAATACATGGAGAATTCATACAACTCAATAATAGAAAGATAAATAACTCAATTCAAAAATAGGCTTTTTGAAATGAAGTATGGGATGAAAAAAACGGGCAAGGGATCTTAATAGACATTTCTGCAAAAAAGCTATACAAATGACCAATAGGTGCATGAAAAGATTAGGGAAATGCAAACTAAAACCACAGCGAGATTCTGCTTCCCTACTCCCTACTATGGCTTTAGTAAAAACAAGTGTTGGTGAGAATATGGAGAAATTAGAAACCTCATACATTCTGGTGGGAATATAAAATGATGCAGTCACTTTGGAAAACAGTCTGGTAGTTTCTTAAAACACTTAACATAGAATTACCATATGGCTCAGCAATTCGACTTCCTTTTCAAATGTTTCATTTGAGAACATATATTCACATAAAAACTTGCATACAAATGTTTGTGGAAACATTATTTGTAATAGCCAGAATGTGAAAACAATACAAATGTCTAATAAGTGGATAAATAAATGTGATATATCTAAACAGTGGAAAATTATTTGGCAATAGAAGGGATATACATGCTATAACATGGATTCACTTATCATTACATTAACTGAAAGCAGCCAATTACAAAAGACTACATAGTATATCTCATTTACGGATGTCCAGAATAGAGAAATCTATACTGACAGAAAGTAGATCAGTGTTTGCCTAGGGCTTGGGAGGAGTCAGAAGGGGAATCAAGGTAGTAGGGGAAAGGGGAATGACTGCCAATGGGTATGGGATTTCTTTTTAGGGTGGCAAAAACGTTCTAAAATTAGACTGTGGTGATGGTATTCACTCTGTGAATGTATTAAAAACCACTGTACACGTCAAGTGGGTAAAATGTATGGTATGTGAATTCGATCTTAACAGATCTGTCTTAAAAATGCTCTTCACTGAATAAACTCTACTTGATGCAATGTAATATTTTTAAATGGGCTGAACCACTTCTGGAAATAATGAATATAAAGCAAACAAAAACTCAGCATTTTCAGTTTATCTTAAGATAACTAGAAGCAAGTACAGTGTTTTACTCTACTTTCTTTCAAACTGTATGAAAAGTATCATTTAGCAAAACTGTTAAGATTAAGTGAAACTAAATAATAAAACGACACCTGAGTAGGCCGACAGTTCTGGATTATTTCCTGCCATTTTCCATGTATCCTGGCGACCAAGTCTTTCACCTGTAAAAATATTAAATAGGGAAAAAGGGATCAGATCAAAACATCCTCACCTACAATCAGCTTAACACTACACAAAAGATCTGACAGCTGCATCAGGCCCACACTCAACAACTCAATTTGATTTCTGTCAACAAAGAGAAAATAAACTACTCATCTTTTGGAGGACCTTTCAAATCATAGCAATTAATAAGATTTTCCTTTATCACCGAAATCTAAACTATTGACTACTTAGGATTTAATTTTCCTATTAAAGGTCATCCAGATAAACACATTCTCTGCCTTCAGAGGAACTCAACTTTAACTTGCTGGCTTCTCAACACCCAGAAAGAGAAGCTGAAGGGTGGTCTGTGTCAACAGGGCCCAAGGCTTTGGCTGTTCCCTGCCTTCCCTTCCCAGCTTCCATTTGAAAGAATAAAGGCCATTAAAAAAATGTTTACTTGGCTGGGCACAGTGGCTCACGCCTGTAATTCCAGCACTTTGGGAGGCTGAGGCAGGTGGATCACCTGAGGTAGGGAGTTTGAGACCAGCCTAACCAACAAGCAGAAACCCTGTTTCTACTAAAAATACAAAATTAGCTGGGCGTAGTGGCAGGCGCCTGTGATTTCAGCTACTAGGAAGGTTGAGGCACGAGAGTCGCTTGAACCTGGGAGGTGGAGGTTGCAGTGAGCCGAAATTGCGCCATCACACTCCAGCCTGGGCAACAAGAGCGAAACTCCGTCTCAAAAAAATTAAAATTAGCTGGGCGCGGTGGCTCAAGCCTGTAATCCCAGCACTTTGGGAGGCCGAGGCGGGTGGATCACGAGGTCGAGAGATCGAGACCATGCTGGTCAACATGGTGAAACCCCGTCTCTACTAAAAATACAAAAAAAACTAGCTGGGCGTGGTGGCGCGTGCCTGTAATCCCAGCTACTTAGGAGGCTGAGGCAGGAGAATTGCCTGAACCCAGGAGGCGGAGGTTGCAGTGAGCCGAGATCGTGCCACTGCACTCCAGCCTGGGCAACAAGAGCGAAACTCCGTCTCAAAAAAAAAAGAAAAAAAAAAAAATTAAAAAAGAAGGTTTATTTGTTCCTCTCCACATTATTAGAAGATCCAAAATTCACTGTTACTTCTCTCCATGTTTTTGCGCAGTTACTTTCATCCTCTTTAAAGATCTAGTATATTTCTACATTTGGACGTTTAGCAATCCAAATTACCACAAAAGTCTCCAAGTTACCACAAATACCAAACTCTATCACTCCAGGGATTCTTAATTAGCTATTGAACATAACTGTTTGAGAAAAATGTTTTAAATAACTCAGGAATTTTATAGCAGCTTTACATTTATAAAGTAAATTACAATCTCTGTTTTTTACTCCGTCTACGGTTCGGCAAATTAAATTTCTCCAAATCAATCACCAACTTTTCTGTAACAAAGCCTTTTGGAGAGGCAGGCAACTTGCCTGCTTCAGCAGGACCATTCCTTGAAGCAATTTCCACAGACCACTGTGTCACTTTTCACTTTAAGTAAGAGAAGCACTGGCAACAATCTGTGCCAAGCCCTTGTCTTTAAGAAACATAAAACTTGGATGGTCCCCTTTGAGAATGTCTGCCAGTAACAGCCACTACGAAGTTCTCCAGGCCAGCAATTCTAGTCAGCGAATGCTCAAAAGAATGTGCTTCCGAAACTCCGAGTTCTACTCTGGGGCAAAGAGCTAACCCCTCCATGTATCTGAAAATCAGAAATCTGGTAACAATTTCATTAGTTGCTTATTTTTGTATTTAACTTAAATTTACTAAAATAAATACATATACTAAATCCACATGGGCATTGTTCAAATGACTAACCTTTGCAGCTAATTAATCTAAGATACTAAGTTACAAAGCTGAGACTTCAATGACTATCCAAATACAAGAGGCAAAAAGAATCAGCATTGAGTTACATCACCAAAGCTAAAAGATAATATTGGAATAAAAAAAATCCTTAGAAAAAGGTATTTTTATTTTATTTATTATTACTATTAGTTTTGAGACAGAGTCTTGCTCTGCCATCCAGGCTGGAGGGCAGTGGTGCAATCTCAGTTAACTGCAAGTTCCGCCTCCTGGGTTCAAGTGATTCTCCTTCCTCAGCCTCCTGAATAGCTGGGACTACAGGTGCACGCCACCATACCTGGCTCATTTTTGTATTTAGAAAAAAGTATTTTAAAAGCGTCTGGAATTTTTCTCCTTGGGTGTTAGAAGTTTCAGAACCGAAAAGAAAGTGAAAAGTGTATTTGCTTTGAGACTCTTTTCTTTCACTTTTAATTTAGCTACATGAATTTAACAGGAACTGATTTTTTTTTTAGACTGAGTCTCGCTCTGTCGCCAGGCTGGAATGCAGTGGCGCAATCTCTGCTCACTGCAACCTCCGCCTCTTGGGTTCCAGCGATTCTTCCACCTCAGCCTTCCCAGCAGCTGGAAACAGGGGCGCATGCCCAGGATAGTCTCAATCTCTTGACCTCATGATACACCCACCTCGGCCTCCCAAAGTGCTGGGATTACAGGCGTAAGCCACCGCGCCCGGCCAACAGGAACTGATTTCTGTTATTAAAGGAGAAAGTCCTATTTCTAATTTTACACGTTTCTTTTTTGAGACAAGAGTCCTACTCTGTCTCCCAGGCTGGGATGCCAATGGTGTGTTCATAGCTCACTGCAACCTCAAACTCCTAGGCTCCAGTGATCCTCCTTCCTCAGCCTCCCAAGTATGTGGAATTACAAGGGCATGCCACCATGCGTGGCCAGTTTTCAAAATTTTTGTAGAGATGGAGTCTTGCTATGCTGCCCAGGCTGGTCTTGAACTCCGGGCTTCAAGCAATCCTTCTGCCTTGGCCTCACAAAGTATTGGGATGACAGGCATGAGCCACCATGCCCAGACTTAGGTGTTCTTTTTCTGATATAAGGCTGTATGCTTCTATCCTTAAATATTAATACAACCAAGATTTAGCCAAAAAAAAAAAAAAAAAAAAAGAGAGAGAGAAAGAAAAGAAAAAACACACTGACCTTAGTTCTGTAAAAAAGTCTTGCATCTTCCCTAATATCACATTTAACATGCTTTTCCAAAGCCCCACAGAGCAGCACAAAGTGTTTCTGTGCAAAACAAATGCAAGGAATGAAAACAACTCTGACGCATTACAAATTAACAAAGAAGAAATTATGCAGTTAGAACAACTAAATCATTTAAAAATCGATTATTCCTAATAGCAATGACTGATGTTAACCATCCAACGTAACAGTAGTTATATCAGTGAAAGTAGCTGCTTCCATGATAGTGAGATTACAAGTTTAAAAACTATACAGTATGACAAAAGTTGTTTTCCTATGCATTAACTCATATTAATGAAAATTAACCCCAGAGCTTCAACTGGGTAATGTAATACTCAGAAATTTTAAAAGTCCTTCCTTTAACACATTCTCTAATAAAATATTCAAATAAGAGCTAGCGTGTTTTCTTTTTTTTTAATTAAAAAAATTTTTTTTGAGACCGAGTTTTTCTCTTATTACCCAGGCTGGAGTGTAATGGCATGATCTTGGCTCACTGCAACCTCTGCCTCCCGGGTTCAATTGATTCTCCTGCCTCAGCCTCCCGAGTAGCTGGGATTACAGGCATGCATCACCACACCTGGTTAATTTTGTATTTTAGTAGAGATAGGGTTTCTCCTTGTTGGTCAGGCTGGTCTCGAACTCCCGACCTCAGGTGACCCACCCACCTTGGCTTCCTAAAGTGCTGGGATTACAGGCATGAGCCACCATACCCAGCCCCCAATTTTTTTTTTAAAGAAATGGGCCGGGCGTGGTGGCTCAAGCCTGTAATCCCAGCACTTTGGGAGGCCGAGGCGGGTGGATCACGAGGTCGAGAGATCGAGACCATCCTTGTCAACATGATGAAACCCCGTCTCTACTAAAAATACAAAAAATTACATGGGCATAGTGGCACGTGCCTGTAATCCCAGCTACTCAGGAGGCTGAGGCAGGAGAATTGCCTGAACCCAGGAGGCGGAGGTTGCGGTGAGCCAAGATCGAGCCATTGCACTCCAGCCTGGGTAACAAGGGCGAAACTCCGTCTCAAAAAAAAAAAAAAAGAAAAAAAAGAAAAAAAAAAAAGAAATGGGTCTGGCTCTGTTGCCAGGCTGGAGTGCAGCGGCACAATTATAGCTCACTGCACCCTCGAACTCCCCAGTTCAACCTCCTCCCGTCTCAGCCCCCTGATTAGCTAGGATTACAGGCATGTGCCACCATGCCCAGTTTTTTTCTTCTTCCTGAGACAGAGTCTTGCTCTGTCACTCAGGCTAGAGTGCAGTGGTGGGATCTCAGCTCACTGCAACCTCCACCTCCCAGATTCAGGCAATTCTCTACCTCAGCCTCCAGAGTAACTGGGATTATAAGCATGTGCCACCACACTAGACTAATTTTTGTATTTTCAGTAGAGACAGGGTTTCATCACATTGGCCAGGCTGGTCTCAAACTCCTGACCTTAGGTGATCCACCTGCCTCAGCCTCCCAAAGTGCTGGGATAATAGGTGTGAGCCATTGTACCTGGCCAATTTTTTTTAATTTTTAAATTTTTTGTAGAGATAGGGTCTCACTTTGTTGCCAAGGCTAACGTCAAATGCCTGGCTTCAAGTGATCCTCCCTCTTCAGTCTCCCAATGTGTTGAGATTATAAGCATGAGACACTGCACTTGGCCAGCACAACACTGGCCCATTTAATATTTAATGTTGGTATCTTATGAATATATTATACTATTGCCAAGGTATAACAGTTAGCTCTCCAACAAACAGAGCTAACATTTGCTGACAAATAATTCTTTTCAATATGACATGGCTACAAGATCACACTATCCTGCCCCTCTTGCTGGTATACATGGGAATTCTTACAGGAAAATCAGCTTGAGATTTTTTTTTTTTTTTTAAGAGACAGGGTCTTGCCCTATTGCCCAGGCTGGAGTGCAGTGGTGGAATCATAGCTTACTGCAGTTTTGGACTCTTGGGCTCAAATAATCTTCCCATCTCAGTCTTTTGGATTACCTGGGACTACAGGTGTGTGCCACCATACCTGGCTAGTTTTTGTTTTTGATTTTTTGTAGAGACAGCATCTTGCTATATTGCCTAAGCTGGTTTTAAACTCCTAGGCTCAAGTAATCCTTCTGCCTCTGCCTCCCAGTGTTGGAATTATAGGCATGAGATACCACACCTGGCCCTATTTTTTTTTTTTATATAGGAACAACACAAGCTTTCACTAATAGAGGTTCATACTTAATTCTTTGAAAAATTAACCATCTTAAATTTTACAAATGTAGAGACCTAAGCAGTTCTCTCATATATACTTGGTGAGAATGTAAATGAACGCTTTCTGGGATGAAAATGTGATAATAGCTACTTAAAATAATTAAAATTTGAAATATTTATATGCTTGCCAAAATAGGCAAAGATATATAAATAAGCATGTTCATGTTAACACTATGTGTAATCACAAAAAACATACTGTTTATCAATAAAGGCTTCAAAATGCTATAGTTATTAGACAGAAGTGCTAATACTTGATTTTTTTTTTTTGAGACCGAGTTTTGCTCTTGTTACCCAGGCTGGAGTGCAATGGTGCGATCTCGGCTCACCGCAACCTCCGCCTCCTGGGTTCAGGCAATTCTCCTGCCTCAGCCTCCTGAGCAGCTGGGATTACAGGCATGCGCCACCATGCCCAGCTAATTTTTTGTATTTTTAGTAGAGACGGGGTTTCACCATGTTGACCAGGATGGTCTCAATCTCTTGACCTCGTGATCCACCTGCCTTGGCCTACCAAAGTGCTGAGATTACAGGCTTGAGCCACTGCGCCCGGCCATATTTGATTTTCTATATATTTTTTGAGACAGGGTCTCACTCTGTCACCCAGGCTGGAGGGCAGTGGCATGACCGCCGCACATGGCAGCCTTGACCTCCTTGGGCTCAGGTGTTCCTCCTACCTCAGCCTCCCAAGTAGCTGGAACTACAGGCATGTACCACCATGCCCAGCTAACTGATTTTGTTTTTTGTAAAGATGGCATTTTGCTATGTTGCCCAGGCTGGTCTTGAACTCCTGGGCTCAAGCGATCTGTGTACCTCAGCTTCCCAAAGTTTGAGGATAACAGCTGTGAGCCGCTGCAGCCACCCAATTACTAATATGTTAAAAAGGAAAAAAAGGAAGTTGCAAATGATACTAATAGTATAATTCCATTTTTGTTAAAATAATTGTTAGTACATGTAATGTATTAGAAAATCGTGAAGAAATTTACAGGAGGGCATTGGATTGTAGGAGTCTTTCACTTTCTACCTTATGTAAGTTTTATAATAATCACTTTTTTTTTTTAATAGAGATAGCATTGCCCAGGCTGCTCCTGAAGTCCTGGGCTCCTGGGCTCAAGCGATCCTCTTGACTTGGCCTCCCAAAGTGCTGGGATTACAGGCATGAGCCACCATGCCCAGTCACTGACTTTTTTAATAATAAAAAGTAATTTATAGCCAGGTACAGTGGCTCATGCCTATAATCCCAGCACTTTGGGAGGCCAAGGCAGGTGGATCACAAGTTCAGCAGTTTGAGCCCAGCCTGGCCAACATGGTGAAACCCTGTCTCTACTAAAAATACAAAAACTAAGCCGGGCGCGGTGGCTCAAGCCTGTAATCCCAGCACTTTGGGAGGCCGAGGCGGGTGGATCACGAGGTCAGGAGATCGAGACCATCCTGGTCAACACGGTGAAACCCCGTCTCTACTTAAAATACAAAAAATTAGCTGGGCATGGTGGCGCATGCCTGTAATCCCAGCTACTCAGGAGGTTGAGGCAGGAGAATTGCCTGAACCTAAGAGGCGGAGGTTGCGGTGAGCCGAGATCGTGCCATTGCACTCCAGCCTGGGTAACAAGAGTGAAACTCCGTCTCAAAAGAAAAGAAAAAAAAAAATAATAATACAAAAACTAGCTGGGTGTGGTGGCTAGTGCCTGTAGTCCCAGCTACACAGGAGGTTGAGGCAGGAGAATCGCTTGAACCCGGGAGGCAGAGGTTGCAGTGAGCCAAGACCAAGCCACTGTACTCTAGCCTGGACTACACAGTAAGACTCCATCTCAAAAAAAAAAAAAAAAGGTAATTTATAAAATATAAAAACCATATAAGAATATTACAGACAGATCACCACATTAGCTTCAAATCAGGAGAGCAACCACTTTTTTTTTTTTTTTTTGAGACAAGAGTTTCGCTCCTGTGGCCCAGGCTAGAGGGCAATAGCGTGATCTTGGAGCATTGCAACTTCTGCCTCCTGAGTTCAAGCAATTTTGCTTCAGTTTCCCGAGTAGCTGGGATTACAGGCACCCACCACCATGCTTGGCTAATTTTTGTATTTCTAGTAATGACGGGGTTTCATCATGTTGGTCAGGCTGGTCTCAAACTCCTGACCTCAGGTGATCCACCCACCTTGGCCTCCCAAAGTGCTGGGATTATAGGCTTGAGCCACTGCACCTGGCTGCAAACAGAGTACACAATAGCATTTATAAAAATGCAAGAACTAGTCTTGTGTCTTTTCTATCATGTCTAGTAGATACTACGTTTTTTGTTTTTGTTTTTGTTTTTTTTTTGAGGTGGAGTCTCCTTCTGTTGCCCAGGCTGGAGTGTGGTGGTGTATCAACTCACTGCAACCTCTACCTCCTGGGTTCAGGCCGTTCTCCTGCCTTATCTTCTGGAGTAGCTGGGATTACAGGCATCTGCCACCATGCCCAGCTAATTTTTTTGCATTTTTGGTAGAGATAGGGTTTTATCATGTTGGCCAGGCTGGTCTTGAATTTCTGACCTCAAGTGATCTGCCTGCCTTGGCCTCCCAAAGTGCTGGGATTATAGGCGTCAGCCACCACATTGGGCCTAAATTTTAAAACAGGAATTAATAGTAGTTAAGATATGAAACAAGAGGAATTAAGCAAGAACTTTCCCCAGGGATATGGGAAGAATAGAATAATTCAAAATGAAAATCTTAATATGGGAAGATAATTTAGAAATGCATTTCTAAAGTAGCCTGCCTTACCATCAGCTTAATTTTGAAGGCAAATGTTATTTCTAAAAGGAAAAAAAGGCGAAGGGAGAAGAGATGGGAAGAAAGGCGCTAAAAGCTGGCTGTATGACAAATGCAGCTGACAGCAGTAACTTAAGCATATTCTGAAAATGAACCTATAGTCTAAGAAGAATGTATAATTGGAGTCCTCAGCTAAGGAATCTGGGAGTGGCCAATCTGGAGTTTCACTCCTTATTTATGAAGGACATCTGAATCCCCAGCCCATCCCTTGGAAGGCCACACAGGGGATCTCCACAGGGGATGCAGGCCCTTTCTTCTGGGTTAAATGGAAGTTGCTAGGTAGAGGGTGCTAAGTGAAAATGCTATATAAACTGCATGGTGTATATAAATGGTAGCAGTTCTCCTGTGTAGCATGCTGCCACTTGGCTGCCATTTCTACTGGAGTCAATATGGGTCCAGCACAACACCGGCCCATTTGACATTTGATAAGGTTGGTATCTTACGAATATATCATACTATGGCCAAGATACAATGGTTAAGTTCCACTCCAACAAATAGAACTAACATTTGCTGACAATTCTTTTTTTTTTTTTGAGATGGAGTTTCACTGTTGCTGCCCAGGCTGCAGTACAGTGGCCCAATCTCCACTCACTGTAACCTGTACCTTCTGGGTTCAAGTGATTCTCCTGCCTCAACCTCCCAAACAGCTGGGATTACAGGCGCCCGCCACCACACACGACTAATTTTTTTTGTATTTTTAGTAGAGATGGGGTTTCACCATGTTGGCCAGGCTGGTCTCGAACTCCCGACCTCAGGTGATCCACCCACCTTGGTCTTCCAAAGTTCAGGGATTACGGGCGTGAGCCATGGTGCCAGGCTGACAATTCTTTTCAATATGATATGGTTACAAGACCACTATCATGCCCCTCTTTCTGGTATACATGTAAATTATTATAGAAAAATCAATAAGCTTTTATGAAGTTTTCTCCTATATAAAGCATGTTTACTCATTCCATCAACAGTGACAACTATTTAAAAACAGCAGTAACGACACTAAACACTACCTACCCGTTGTCCAGAAGAAAAAGAATGAGAACAACTAACTTCACCGACTAAATGAAGAAGAATGTAGGTCAGGTAATATGCCTGTTAGAGAAATGAATACAATTAACATCTATGAATTAGCTAGCATAGATGTCATTCCAATTTACACATTAGGAAAGTTGCCCAGGAAGGAAAAAGGATATGTTAAAGTTAACCCAGCTGGTCAGTAAGGAAAAGCCAAGCATTTCAACTAGGGTTTCTGAATTCTAACACAAGTGCATTCTTTTACCATGAATCACGGTAAATGATTCATGACCTCATGACTGCCCTAATAAAGGGCTACAAAAAAATGCTCTTGGGGGCAAATTACCAACAACCACCCTTTTACCTAAATTTTCAACTCTCAGATTTATGGAAGATTTCATGACAGCAATAAATTAAAAATATCATTCGCTTTAAAATTATGTTTGCTGGAATGTATCTAGTGTCCAAATCCACAAATGCCTACATTATCAGTCTATGCTTAGGAAGCTGGTATTATCAGTTATGCTTTTTTTTTTGAAGATGGGGTTTCACCATGTTGGTCAGGCTAGTCTTGAACTCCTGACCTCAGGTGATCCGCCCACCTTGGCCTCCAAAGTGCTTGGATTACAGGCGTGAGCCACCACACCCGGCCATCAGTTATGCTTCTATGTACTCTTTGAGATCTTCGAGTGCTGGATACCTGCTTTTCAAGTTCTAAATGAAGACTGTCATCAATAGTGCCATTTGGTTGTTCAGCCTTTTTCTTTAAGACCATTTTCTTTAACAAATCAGAAGGCTTCATTTGTACAAGATAGCGATGTAGGACTGATACCTATCAAAAGAAAGAGATGACATTGAACAAAGCTAAAAAATACAGTTGCTCTTCCTTAGGCTACTTGTTTCAGTGTGTCCTCTTTCATTTTGTCCTTTTATTATAGCTTTCTTTACTCTTGAACAATATCCATTTCCCCTTTATGTAAAACTCCTCAACTGCTTAAAAAAGGGATTTTAAGTGGCCAGGCGAGGTGGTTCATGCCTGTAATCAGCACTTTAAGAGGCCAAGGCAGGTGGATCACCTGAGGTCAGGAGTTCGAGACCAGCCTGACCAACATGGAGAAACCTTGTCTATACTAAAAATACAAAAATAAGCTGGGCATGGTGGTGCACGCCTGTAGTCCTAGCTACTCAGGAGGCTGAGGCACGAGAATTGCTTGAACCCATGGGGTGGAGGTTGCAGTGAGCTGAGATGGTGCCACTGCACTCCAGCCTGGGCAACAGAGCAAAACTCTGTCTCTCAAAATAAAAGGGGGATATCAAGTTAAAGATTTAGTACTTGTAACTTAGGATAAATTCTTAGGAGACCAAATGATATTATAGAGAGGCCACAGGGAATGCTTTCTCTGTTAAATTATTTGAAAGTCAACAAAGTTGACTCTCCCTGTGTTTAGAAGTCATTGAATTCTGAAAAGAACTACAAGAATACGGGGTAAAAATCACAACTAGATGTAATTTGCATATCAATTAGTGAGTCTGAGGGTTAACTATTCATGTAATTATTCAGCTAATTATTCTATTTTACAGCTGAGCATGGTGGCTCGCTCCTGTAATCCCAGCACTTTAGGAGGCTTAGGTGGGCGGATCACAAGGTAAAGAGACTGAGACCACCCTGGTCAACATGGTGAAACCCCATCTCTACCATAAGTACAAAAAATGAGCTGGGTGTGGTGGCACGCACCTGTAATTCCAGCTACTTGGGAAGCTGAGGCAGGAGAATCACTCGGGAGGTGGAGGTTGCAGTGAGCTGAGACAGCGTCACTGCACTCCTCAAAAAAAAAAAAAAAAATTCCATTTTACATGGGCAAAAAGGAAAAAGTAACAGAAGAAAAGTTAGGAGAAATGGTAGAAATTCTATTCCTGTATCTCTTTTGAAGGCAATAAATATCATTGAAAGGAATGAGAGCTATTTGCTAACTACCCTGGTAGCTCCAGCATGATCCCCATATATCTGGAATCAAATCTACCTCAACTCTACTAATGCAGAAACCAGCTGTGCCCATCAATTTCTCCATCCCATGGTATCTTTTTTTTTTTTTTTGAGACAAAATCTCACTCTTTTGCCCAAGCTGGAGTGCAGTGGCGCAATCCTGACTCACTGCAACCTCCATCTCCCCGGTTCAAGTGATTTTCCTGCCTCAGTCTCCTGAGTAGCTGGGACAGTTTTTTTTAAATTCCTAGGTCCTGGCAGCATACCTTGTACCAAACTGTAATTCAAAAAAGAACAAAGGGAAATCAAGATCATGTTCTATGGTGAGTTTTCAAATCCAACCAAGGCAGCCCTATTAGTGATACCAATATTTGTAAAAAGGCTTCAGAACTTCTCAGATTGGGGCTTCCATAGGACACTTTTTCAAATTAAAAAAAAAAAAAAAAAAAAAAAAAAAATATATATATATATATATATATATTTAAAGACAGGGTCTCCCTATGTTGCTTAGGTTGAACTTGAATTCGTGGATTCCAAAGATTCTCTGGTCTCGGCTTCCCAAGTAGCTGGGACTGTAGGTGCATACCACTACACCTAGCACCAGCCAGACATGTTTATCCACACTCTCATATATACATGATATATTCGTACTGAACAAGTACTGGAGCGCAACTATATTTAAGCTCTATCATCTAAAAAGACTCATTAAAACAGGTTGAAGATTCAATCAATGTACAACAGTTTTGCAATTGCTAAACTTGTGATAAAATTGCTAACTTGGAAAAGCTGAACTAATTCAATAAACGGCATCATATTCCTATAATTGCACATTATGATTTTCCTAGTAGTTTATATATTAATTCACATCTGATTGTCCACAACCATCCTATGTGGTGGAGGGTGCAAAACTATATCCACTTCACAGATGAAAAAACTAGATCTTGCTAAGTTTGCTAAAGATTACATGAATAGCATCATGCTTGAGAGCTGAGCTCTGACCCTAGGACACTTGACTTAGGGTTCGTCAATTTTCCCTATACTCCTCATTACGTCTCCCATTTATTAGAAATAAAAATATATTTATTGATACCTGCAGATTATTGGCATTAGGAACATCTTCGTGTTTCTCATCCAAAAGCTTTGAAATAATCACTAGACTGAGGCACTGTCTCAGTTGCCTAGAATAGAAGTTAGAAGTACTTAGAATGCATTTTAATTAATACTGTTTGAAAAGTAAATGAATGAGCCAAGAGGAGTTCTAGTTCTAATTGGAAATATAAGCAATGTTTCAAGAGAAGTCTGTATAAGAACATATAAACTGTTATAGAATAGTAAAATTTTCATGTAAAATATTTCTACATAAAACTTGAGTTATCTGAAGCTCAGTAAATCATTTAACAGCCTTTGACCCTGATGGTTTACTGACAGAAAACCTATTTTTTAATTGCTGAAATTTCTTTTTACTAAAGCAAAAAAAGCTAATTCATTAATTTTTGTGGAATATGTCATCTGCATTAAGGCATCAGATAAACTAAACTAAAAAATAAAAAATATTCGGCTTGGGTGACAGAGTGAGACTGTTTCAAAAAAAAAATTACATAATGATCTGTGTAAGAATTAGAATATGCAGAATCAGGCTATTAATGCCTTTTCTCACAACTGAATATGAAATAAACACCTCTGGCCGGGTGCGGTGGCTCAAGCCTGTAATCCCAGCACTTTGGGAGGCCAAGGAGGGTGGATCACGAGGTCAAGAGATCGAGACCATCCTGGTCAACAAGGTGAAACTCCGTCTATACTAAAAATACAAAAAGTTAGCTGGGCGTGGTGGTGCGTGCCTGTAATCCCAGCTACTCAGGAGGCTGAGCCAGGAGAATTGCCTGAACCCAGGAGGCGGAGGTTGCAGTGAGCCGAGATCGCGCCATTGCACTCCAGCCTGGGTAACAAGAGCGAAACTCCGTCTCAAAAAAAAAAAAAAAAAAGAGAAATAAACACCTCTGATCTAATATTCAAAGAATGATGAATGAAGCTGGGCGCGGTGGCTCAAGCCTGTTATCCCAGCACTTTGGGAGGCTGAGGCGGGTGGATCACGAGGTCAAGAGATCGAGACCATCCTGGTCAACATGGTGAAACCCCATCTCTACTAAAGATACAAAAAAATGGCCGGGCGCGGTGGCTCAAGCCTGTAATCCCAGCACTTTGGGAGGCCGAGGCAGGTGGATCACGAGGTCAACAGATCGAGACCATCCTGGTCAACATGGTGAAACGCCGTCTCTACTAAAAATACAAAAAAAAATTAGCTGGGCATGGTGGCTCGTGCCTGTAATCCCAGCTACTCAGGAGGCTGAGGCAGGAGAATTGCCTGAGCCCAGGAGGCGGAGGTTGCGGTGAGCCGAGATCGCGCCATTGCACTCCAGCCTGGGTGACAAGAGCGAAACTCCGTCTCAAAAAAAAAAAAAAAAAAAGATACAAAAAAATTAGCTGGGCATGGTGGCACATGCCTGTAATCCCAGTTACTCAGGAGGCTGAGGCAGGAGAATTGCTTGAACCCAGGAGGCGGAGGTTGTGGTGAGCCGAGATCCCGCCATTGCACTCCAGCCTGGGTAACAAGAGCGAAACTCCGTCTCAAAAAAAAAAAAAAAGAATGATGAATGAAAATAAAGAGCCCAAGGCATTTCATTAATATAAAATTATAAAGTTTCTTAATGTTTAATTCTCACTTTTCAATACCTTCCACGTGATGTCCAATTAGGGACCAGCTGTACCAACCACAGAAGGTTGTGGGGATGACTAGAGAGTTCATTTATGCCCAGACAGAGTTCAGGCACCTGAAAAAAAAAAATGTAAGATTTCTTTTCAAACAGAACAGTGGAATCAAACACCCAACGGATCATCTACATCCCTTCTTGCCATAATGGAAGCACTAGTACAAAATAGAGTACACATTTTTAGAAACAGCACGGAGTCTAGAATCTGCTAAAATGTACATAATACACAGATTCAGTTTACTTATACTGTCTTAAGTGGACTGAGCAAATAAATTTACCAGAATTTCACTTGGCTTTCATGTTTTGTACTACATTATATCTCCATCTATATTTAAGCAGTCTTTCTTGGAAGGATAAACTGATCTAAATACAAACGTGTATGAGAACTGTACAAGATCATGTATGTTCCTGATTTGGAATTTCTTACACTTTAAGGATCCTATTCCAGTATTTTTAAAAGCCTAACACCTGGCTGGGTGTGGCGGCTCAGGCCTGTAATCCCAGCACTTTGGGAGGCTGAGGGAGGTGGATCACTTGAGGCCAAGAATTTGAGACCAGCCTGGCCAACATGGTAAAACCATCTCTACTAAATACACAGAAATTAGCTGGGCAGGGTGGCATGTGTCTGTAGTCTCAGCTACTTGGGAAGCTGAGGCATGAGAATCACCTGGATCCGGGAGGCAGAGGTTGTACTGAGACAAGATTATGCCACCGAACTACTGCCTGGGTGACAGGGGATGTTGTCTAAAAAAAAAAAAGTCTAACATCCCCAAAATATGTACTACTATTGTGTATTAATTTTTTAAAAAGGGTTGGTTGTACATTAGACAAGATTATGTTTCAAAAATTGGTGATATTTATTATACTCTTTGTCCTACTTTTGCATATTTTAATTTTTCCACCAAAAAGATTGAAAAATTTACTTTTTAAAAAGGCCTAACAAAACTTATACATGTTGATCCTCCATATGGTTGTAGAAGTTCAACTCAAATTCTTATCGTAGGAATGACTCACTCCATCATTTCATTTAGGTCTCTGGTCAAAGGTCATTTTGGAAAGGCCCTTTCCTGACTGCCTTATATGAAACAGCATTGCATCTGGCTTTGCTATACTCATGTCCTGCTTTAATTTAATTTGTAGTACTTAACTACTACCTGACATAATATAATCAACATTTACTTGTTTATCTAACCCTTTGACTAGGACAAAAGCCCCATGAAGGCAAAGGCTTTGTCTCTTTGACAGCTCAATCTCTAGCAACTACATTAATGCTTAGTCCACAGGAAATCCCCAATAAACATATTTTTGTTGAAGACCTGCAGTTTTAGAAAAAATTCAATTATCATGAATTTAAACAATATAGCTACAGCAAACAGTTCCTCCCTCAGTTCATTTTTAATCTGCCAAAGATCTTAACTGAGTTTAAAAACAGTATTAATTTCATATGCACTATGAGTCAAACTGTAATGCTATATAAAAAACTAATAATGAAGTTTTAAGTAACATACCTTTGAGTTCCAATCTCTGATGTTTTTCATCAGGTTTATCAGGAGGCTTTGAAAGTCTACTAGAGGAATCTGTTTCAGCTGTTTTTCCAAACTCATTTTAAATAACATTAAAATCAGCAACATTATTTCACGATCATGGTAACCTTCTGGATGTATAGATGTACACAAACCCAGAAACTGTTTAACATAAATGCATAGACAAAAAAATTTTAGGAGGTTTACTTTTAGAGTTTTACTTATAAATCTTTTTGACAAAAGACGCAAAAAAGAACTATACAGAAAACAAACATCAGATGTCTTAGAGAAAAGGCGGCAAGAACTACTCAATGTTAATAGCTGAATTAAGTGGCATTTTCTTCTCCATTTTCCATTTTCGACATTTTCTTAACAGTTCAGTAACTGATTCAATTCAGCCACTAAAAATGTTTCACATTGTCGTTAACTCTTTCTTTTTTTGCCCTTCTTTTTTTTTTAAGATCTCACTCTGTCATCCAGGCTGGAGTGCAGTGGTGCGATCTCGGCTCACTGCAACCTCCTCCACCTCCCAGGTTCAAGTGATTCTCCTACCTCAGCCTCCCCAGTAGCTGGGATTATAGGCATCCACCAGCACGCCTGGCTATTTCATTTTATTTTTAGTAGAGACAGGGTTTCACTATGTTAGCTAAGCTGGTCTTGAACTCCTGATCTCAAGTGAGCCACATGCCTCAGCCTCCCAAAGTGCTGGGACTACAGGCATGAGCCACCCGTCATTAATTCCTGATCACTAAGTTATACTGTCAGACGTTTTTCTTCATACATCCTACATATAAAAAAACTATTGGTTTCAAAACTGTGTTATGATATAATTGACTTAAAGTTTCTGTTCATCACTAATATTAAAACAAAAATAAAAACAGCAAAAACAATCTTTAACACAAAGATTATTGCTAAGAAATTTCAGAGACTGGAAATCATCTGGTAAGAAACTAAAAGATTTTATTTAAAAAACCCTTAACCACAGACTAAATGATTCTAACTCTGTGCAAAAGACACACAAAAGTTTTTTCCTACCTTAACCACATTTAAAATGTTGGTTTCAGGAAGAGTTGAAAAAATTGGCTTATAAGATGAATCTTCACTTTCTCTTCCCCCTGGTGTTGTCTGTGTTTCAGAACTATTGAGAAGTGAGTAAAGCAATGTGAAGTTAGGCACAAAATATATTACTCACTTTAAAAAATAATGGGCTTTAAAAAAACTGTTTATCAAGGTATAATTTACATACAATAAAAAGAATGTACCCATTTTAAGTTTTGATAAGCACATATACTAATGTAACCACCACCCAAATCAAGGAGTAGAATATTTCCATTACCTTCAAAAGTCTCTTTCTGCCAGATCCAAGTCAATCTGTTATCCCTGACTCAAGGCAAACATTAATCTGATTTCTAATTTCTACCTTTATGCATCAGTTTTCTCTTGAACAAGCTACCTTTTTTTTCTTTCTTTTTTTTTTGTAGACTGAAGCTTGCTCTGTCACGCAGGCTGGAGTACAATGGTGTGATCTTGGCTCACTACAACCTCCACCTCCCAGGTTCAAGCGATCCTCATGCCTCAGCCTCCCAAGTAGCTGGGACTACAGTTGCGTACCACAATAAATGGCTCATTTTTGTATTTTAAGTAGAGACAGGGTTCACCCGTGTCTGTTAGCCAGGATGGTCTTGATCTCTTGACCTTGTGATCTGCCTGCCTCAGTCTCCGAAAGTGCTGGGATTACAGGCGTAAGCCGCTACGCCTGGCTGAATAAGCTACTTTTATATGGTATTATCCTCATTGCTCTTGGTGTTAGAAAGCTATGTAGAAGGTGGCTCTGACTAAAAAGAATTCGTAATAGGTAAAAGACTCATAAATGGCCTAAAGAAACTGCCATAGCAAGATACAGAAACAATTCAAAGCACTCTAATTCTGGTTATCCAGAGGCTATCAGTGAAGATTCATGAAAGAGGAGATGCATGAACTTGCCTTTCAAAAGAGATAACATTTTACATTTTTTGAAAAAAACAAAAAAAACAAAACAACAAAAAAACAAAAAAAACTTTCATTTATTTATTTAGAGACAGAGTTCTGCTCTTATTGCCCAGGCTGAAGTGCAATGGCACAATCTTAGCTCACCGAAGCCTCTGCCTCCCAGGTTCAAGCGATTCTCCTGCCTCAGCCTCCTGAGTAGCTGGGATTATAGGCATTAGCCGCCACACCTGGCTAATTCTGTATTCTTAGTAGAGACAGGGTTACTCCATGTTGGTCAGGCTGGTCTCAAACTCCCAACCTCAGGTGATCCACCTGCCTTGGCCTCCCAAAGTGCTGGGATTACAGGCTTGAGCCACCGCGCCCGGCCCCACACCAAATTTTCTAAGTTATTTGTCACACTTTTTCATCTGACTCTTACGCTTCTATGTATAGATTAACTCACATCTACAAATAATCTTTCAGCAACTCCTTTCCAATTTTTATATCTTGTTTTTTTTTTCTCTTGTCTAATTGCTTCAGACAATACTTCCACCAAAACATGTTAAATAGCAATGGAAAGTTTTTTAAAAAAGAAAACAAACTTTTATGAAAATATTTCTATTATTTGCCTGCTAGACATGATGACTTTTGGATTAAGACAGATATTAAGAATGTATCTAATTCAAGATTGATCTCAACTTTGAGATATCTTTTTAAAAATCAGGAATAAATGTTGAACTTTAACTGTAATAATTATATGTAAGTTGCATGAAATAGTATTTTCGAAGTTAATTATGATGAGAACACTTACACTAGATAGTCTTCATTAAAGTCTGGCTGAAGAGTCTCCAGAGGAAACAAAGATCTAAAATCAATCCCCATATTGAAAAACACAGCAGCTATATCAGACAATGATGGGATCCAGGGCCAAACTGGTGAGTCACTGAAGGTATCTAGTGAACAGAAGAAAATATTTCATTCTGAATCTTTGGTCTATAAATCCACATTTACAAGGTGACACTCTGCATGTCAAACATGAATAATTACAAAGGTTTTATGGAAACGACAGCTGCTAATTATATGCTAACAATATAGTTATAGGATGATCATAGGAATTATAGATTCCCAAATAAAATGAAGAAAATGACATAAAGAAAATATCTGACAGTGATGGATAAAAGGGTGTAACTCAGAAGGAAGTAACACGTTTTTAAATGACTGGAAATATCGCTAGTAAAATTCCAAGTATCAATAACGCAGGAAGATTTTTTAAAAATTATCTTCAGTGTCTTTAAGAGTCCCAATCCCCAAGACAAATGAAACAGGTAAACCACTATGGCTTCTTTTATTATAAGGGCTCTCAAAGATGGCAAAGCAAATTTTACACTTTTGCAGTGGATGCTTTCAATATGTCTTACTGTATTATAATACTGTTGCTTACCAATAAGCCAATTAAACTTAATTGGCTAAGTAAATTTGTAACCATTTCCACTTAACAAGCAAAGTAAGCCATGATTTGGTAAGTATTAAGTGAGGGCTGCCACGTGTAAGATCTTATACCCTTTGTCTCAGTGCAAGTAGGAAAATGCAGATAACTCATTGTTTAACTGAAGTTTCATTTCATTATTAAAGACTTTTGAGGTCGGGTGAGATGGCTCACATCTGTAATCCCAGCACTTTGGGAGGCCGAGGCGGGTGGATTGCTTGAGCTCAGGCGTTTGAGACCAGCCTGGGCAGCATGCTAAAACCCTGTCTCTACTAAAATACAAAAAAATTAGCCGGGTGTAGTGGTACGTGCCTATAGTCCCAGCTACTCGGGAGGCTGAGGCACGAGAATTGCTTGAACCCAGGAGGTGGAAGTTGCAGTCAGCTGAGATTGCGTCACTGCACTCCAGCCTGGGTGACAGAGCAAGATTCTGTCTAAAAAAAAAAATGACGTTTGATTAGAAAAATAATTTTGTATTGATATTTCCAAATATACTAACATTTAGCAATATAAAAGATACCATGAAAATAGCAACCAATAGTACACACTGTAAATCGTAGTAAGTTGATAAACTTACCATTTCTAATTGTTATTTCCATCAATGTACTTAAAATCTGCACGGACACAATACAGTCTGTATGAACTGACATCATCTGTCAAAAGCAGAGAAATGATAGGGTATTAGAACGAAAAGAAAACATGAACATTCATTATTTGCTAGGCACATATAAAGGTGTTTTATGTGCGCCAGGCACAGTAGTTCATGACTGTAACCCCAGCATTTTGGGAGGCTGAGGGCAAATACCTTGAGCTCAGGAGTTTGAGACCAGCCTGTGCAAGATGGCAAAACCCTATCTCTACAAAAAATACAAAAATTAGCCAGGTGTGGCAGCGCACACCTATAGTGGAGGATCATGATTGTACCACAAAAATAAAAATTAAAAATAAAAATGAACAAAAATAAAATAAAGGTGTTTTACGTGCATTTAATACTAATGATAACCTTATGAAGTGGTACTTATTATACATATGAACAAACAGGTTCAGAGAGATTAAATATTCTAAACAACTAATATATATGATACCTGGAGAAGGTGGAATTTAATGCTGAAGTCAGAGTTCTTTACATTGTAATACGCTGCTTGTTTTTACAACACATTTATAATTAGACAAATAAAACATTTGAAACTATTAAAAAACGTCTTTTTAGTATATACCACGACATGAAACCAAAAAACCATAATGGAAAAGGCTGCAGTTAAAAATCAAACCACAAATTAATATGATACAAATGTACAAAATAATATACCAATAAAGTTTTTCAAAGATGCTCAATATCACTAGATCAAAGAGATGCAATAAAAATAGCAAGATATCACTGGTTGACTTCAAAATTGGCAATGATCAAGAATATTGATAATACCCTGTGTTCACAGGAACACCAGAAAGTAGGAAAACAGTCTTATGCCTCATGTGAGTGTAATTTCGTTAAAAATTTTAAATTAGGGCCAGGTGCAGTGTCTTGCACCTGTAATCTCAACACTTTGGGAGGCTGCAGTGGAAGGATCACTTGAGCACAGGAGTTCAAGACTGGCCTGGGCAACATGGCAAGACCCCATCTCTATAAATAATTGTTTAAAAATTAGCTGGGTGTGCGGGTGCATGCCTATAGTCCCAGCTACTTGGGGGGCTGACGTGGGAGGATCACTTGAACCCAGGAGGTTGGGGCTGTAGTGAGCAGTGATCACACTAATGCATTCCAGCCTGGGTGACAGAGTAAGACCCTATCTCAAAACAAACAAACAAACAAACACAACAACAAAAACAAACAAACAAAAAAATGAAAATCAACTAATTTGGTAATATTTATGGCAAAGGTATTATTTTATACTTTCATCTAGTTGGCCTTTTACATACAGGAATTTAGATGCAAATAATATGCCTGTAGGCCTTTTTTTTTTTTTTTTTGAGACGGAGTTTTGCTCTTGTTACCCAGGCTGGAGTGCGATGGCGCGATCTCGGCTCACCGCAACCTCCGCCTCCTGGGTTCGGGCAATTCTCCTGCCTCAGCCTCCTGAGTAGCTGGGATTATAGGCACGCGCCACCATGCCCAGCTAGTTTTTTGTATTTTTAGTAGAGACGGGGTTTCACCATGTTGACCAGGTTGGTCTCGATCTCTCGACCTCGTGATCCACCCGCCTCGGCCTCCCAAAGTGCTGGGATTACAGGCTTGAGCCACCGCGCCCGGCTGCTAACAAAAACTTCTAAAAAATATTTTAGGCTGGGTGCAGTGGCTCATGCCTGTAGTCCCAGTACTTTGGGAGGCTGAAGCGGGTGGTAACTTAGTGCCAAGAGTTTGAGACCAGCCTGGCCAACATGGTGAAACCCCGTAACTACCAAAAATACAAAAGTTAGCCAGGGGTGGTGGCGCAGGCCTGTAATCCCACCTACTTGGGAGGCTGAGGCTGGAGAATTGCTTGAACCGAGGAGGCGGAGATTGCAGTGAGCAGATATCACACCACTGCACTCCAGCCTGGCAACAGAGTGAGACTCTGTCTCAAAAATTAACAAACAAATTTTAATCTCCTTTCTATTTTACTTGAACTTTTCATAATCAAACCTGAATTCCTTTTGAAAATTGTTTTTTTTTTTTTTTTCACTGTAAAAGGGCAGGAAGTATCTTTATTCCCCACTATATTCCCAGCTCCTGGCAGATAACCTGGGACATAATAAACGCGACATAAAAATGTGTTAAGTGACTTTAAAGGGAACATTTTATTAGAGTATTTGTGTGTGTGTGTGTGTATAATTTTCAAAGAAAGATACGTTTTTAGTTACAGAAACTGAAAACAGGGCTGGACACAGTGGCTCATGCCTATAACCCAGCACTTTGGGAGGCTGAGGTGAGTGGATCACTTGAGCTCAGGAGTTTGAGACCAACCTGGGCAACATGGTGAAACCCCATCTACAAAAAATACAAAATTTAGGTGTCGTGGCACATGCCTATGGTTCCAGTTACTAGGGAGGCTGAGGCAGGAGTATCATTTGAGCCCAGGAGGCGGAGGTTGCAGTGAGTCAAGATCATGCTACTGCACGCCAACCTGAGTGACAGAGTGAAACACTCTCAAAAAAAAAAAAAAAAAAAAAAAAAAAAAAAAAAAAAAAAGGCCGGGCGCAGCGGCTCACGCCTGTAATCCCAGCACTTTGGGAGGCCGAGGCGGGTGGATCACGAGGTCAAGAGATCGAGACCATCCTGGTCAACATGGTGAAATCCCGTCTCCACTAAAAACACAAAAAATTAGCTGGGCATGGTGGCACGTGCCTGCAATCCCAGCCACTCAGGAGGCTGAGGCAGGAGAACCGCTCGAACCCAGGAGGTGGAGGTTGCGGTGAGCCGAGATCGCACCATCGCACTCCAGCCTGGGTAACAAAAGCGAAACTCCGTCTCAAAAAAAAAAAAAAAAAAAAAAAAAAAAGCATCTGAAAACATTTCTGGAGCAATATTTTTTTACTTTATTAAAATACTGAGTTTTATTTCACATGTATATTTTTGTGTCCCCACCATTTCCATGTCTGACCACCACTACTACTATGTCCTATCATAACATTCCATACATACTTAAAACCAAGCAAAGGGTGGAGGTCCCATCTTTAAAAACTACAGGCATTTTGGACAACACATTCTTGGTAATGGAATCTGGACATTTATCAAACACGGTAGGGAAAATTCTCACTCTGCATTATAAAAAGGACAACCAGATATCAACTGTTACAGAAATGAAATAAGATGGAAAATTTTTAACAAATTGTTTAAACTATTAAAGAGACTTCCTCCACTGCCAGAGATCTTGAATAGCCTCCTGGTCAGTCATCCAGAAGCAATTCTTCACATAATTGATAAACTTGGCTTCCACTTTGGGAAGAGAACCACCTTTTTCTATACTTGCTTGCATTTTTGCTTTAATGTCTTCTACAGAACTAGGTCCTTTTGGTGTTTTAGGAGTTTTTTTCCTGTTTTTTGAAGGATTCTTGTCCTTTTGATCTTGGTGTTGATGATGGTTTTGAGTCGTTTCCATTCTGATTTGACTTTTGTGCATTTTTGGCTGGAGTATCGCATATAGATTTCTTCACTGGCACTTTTTCTTCAGTTTCCTCATCATCAAAATCATCATCATCATCTTCATCAGCAGCAAGTTTTACTTTTTTATGTGGAACCTTGCTACCACCTCCAGGGGCAGACCACTTTCCAGACATACTTAAGAGTTTCACATCTTCCTCCACAGCTACTAAGTGCTGTCCACTGATGTGCCTGGCCCTGAACCATACTTCAATCGTAAGACCACTGGTGGTGTTATTTCAAAGCCCCCAAGGGAACCTGTTGGCTGTACAGACATTTTCTAAGTTGCCAGTGTTACTTTAATTGGACTGCCTTTGTAATTCATTGCCTCTGCTTCAAGAATGTGCAACTCATCCTTTGCACCAGCTCCTACACTGACCGTTCTTAAAGATAATTGGTGCTCATTTTCATCATTATCCACCTTAAAGTGATCATCTTTGTCGGACTTTAGTTCACAACCAAAAAGATAGTTCTGGGTCCTCAGGGGGCTCATGTCCATGTCCATCGAATCTTCCATCGGGTGGTGACACGCACTTAGGTGGAAAAGAAGGTGGACGGAGATAAACGACGACTGCTCAAAAGAACAGCCGCTCAGGACGGACTCACACCAGGAGCAATATTTATTTTTGGTATCCCTTGAATGTACTATTCAAGACTTGTATTTAACTATAAAATTCCTTTCCTAGATGGGTAGTACCTCTTATTAAACAACTAATATGTGATATATAATCATACATTTAAAACATGGAAAGACAGTATCTTAAAGCAGATGAAGACAAACTTCAGAGACAAGCATTAAATATATCCAAAAACTAAGTGGACCTGAAAATTGTTTTTTAAAAAAGTAGTAACCTTTTTCTGGTCTACTACATTTAGACATCATGATAAAATCACAAAAATGCAAGTGTTTTAATTATTTTAACAATTAAATTTACAAAATACTAGTTAGAACAAGTATAGCATTAAAATGAATTGACATAATTTCTAAAAACTACTTGTTGGTAAAGCCTCCCACAATGAAAATGGACTTGGAATCAAAAAAGGAGAAATGAGACAAAGTGTCTCAAAGTTTCTAATGAATTGTCTGGTTTTCAGAAAACAAATATGAAATGTATTAAGAAACTGCTTAAATGAAGGTATACTTGTATGTCATAATTAGGGTTTGAATGATATGATGGTCCTACATCAACAAGAGGAAAATTAACATAGACAAATGCAAACTCTCACTTGGAGGTTTAAGAAACGATATATACAATAAGAGAATAATGAAGCCCTGGAGTAACAGTAAAGAAGTTTCGGGGGTTTTTTTCTGAGATGGGGTCTCGCTGTGTTGCTCAGGATGGAGTGCGGTGGTGTGATTAGTTTTGAACTGTACTAAGTAGAAATTTGTAGGTTTCTTCAGATGGGTAAGAGTCTCACTGAAAACTGCTGGTAAGACAGGCCTTACCTGGAGCATGTGTCCATCTATTTTCGGTGGAGGTCGAGGGACAGTGAAGGAACTTTAGGAGTGACATTGACAAGCTACTCCTTTACTTGGATCTTACCTTAACAGCAAAACTTTCAATGACTTTATATTTTAAAAACGCAAACTTTCTCTCTCACCTTGGTACTCTCTCTACCTTACCCTACGTTTTCTTCATAGCACTTATCTGACACAATACACTTACAAATGTGTACACACACACAAACTTGTTTATTGTCAGTTCCTCTATATTAGCATGTGGGCTTCATGAGATCAGAGACCCTGATTTTCTTCATTGCTGTTCTCTCCAGTGACTGGCACAGCTGGCACTCAATATGCCAACTACATGAAACAATGAATGAAAGGCTGTACTGGAATATCTCTCCACTTCTCACCAACTATGAGATTCCTTGAAATGCTCCCATAAAGCCCAGAATTTCTATTTTCCATGTTTTTCCCACTTTTGCTTCATATATAATAGCTGTAGTTCTTTGATATCATTGATACTTTTTCCTTTTTGTTATAGGATTTCTGGGGCAAACACTCACATATTGTAAAGGATTCTTTTATAATATGATTCCTTTTCCCCAAATGTATATTTTTCATACATTTAGGATTTTATTAAAGTGGAACACTCAGTAACTGAGAATAACTTTTTTTTTTTTTTTTTTTAAACTAGATGTGGTCTTGCTAAGTTGCCCAGGCTGCTCTCGAACTGCTGGTCTCAAGCAATCCTCCTGCCTTGGTATTCCAAAGTGCTAGAATTACAGGCATGAGCCACTGCCAAGAATAACTTGTCATTCATAATCGTTCTTGGCTTTGGAAGAAGGATAATTCCAATCCAACTGGGTAATTACTACAGTACTTGCTAAGACAGAAACTATTATACTGGAAAAAGGCCCCTCCATGACCTCCCATACAAATATCTTTTTTTTCAGAGACAGAGTTTCACTCTATCCCCCAGGCTGGAATGCAGTGGCACAATTTTGGCTCACTGCAACCTCCACCTCTTGGGTTCAAGCAATTCTCCTGCCTCAGCCTCCTGAGTAGCTGGGATTACAGACACGCACCACCACGCCTGGGTAATTTTTCTATTTTTAGTAGAGACAGGGTTTTGTCATGTTGGCCAGGCTGATCTCGAACTCCTGACCTCAGGTGATCTGCCTGCCTCAGCTTCCCAAAGTGCCGGGATTACAGGCATGAGCCACTGCACCTGGCCGTTACAAATGTCAAGAGTAAGAAACTTCTACAATGATCTGCATGAAGGTTCAAAGTATCTAGAGTAACACCAGGACTATACACAGCATCAATGGTAACCACTGATATCTTAAAAGTTATCAATTGAATTAACTTTCTTGAATTATCTTAAATTTAAGATAATTATTTAAGTGGATTTAAATGTTAAATATGAATGGGGAAAATAGTTGGATTTGTATCCAAAAAATAAAAACCTATACATATGACTGGGGAAATATTAGTATACAATTAAAATTCTGAAAATATATATAGGTACGGCCATAAACATGAAAAAAAAAAAAGTTAGGGAGGGGTGGGGCAAAAAACAAAAAATTAAAAAGAAATGTAGGCATGTAAGCATTAGGAGACCCCTTCTAAAACTAACTATAATAGAGATTTACCAGTGTGATGAAGGGTTCAGGCACCTGATTGTCATCCAGGTGAATAAATATTTAATTTCTTCAGTCAACTCAAGGAGGAATTAGGTCCGATTCTGATCAGTAATCAGACCTAATAAGAGGATTAGGAAACACTGACTGTCCTGTACAACTATCCACATTCTTACTTCCTTTATAATCTCTTTACATTGACTCTTTTTGCCACATTCTAAGCCACTGACATCAGGAGTTTGATGTGCTACATTAATTTTTTCTACAGTAATGTGGGAATAAAACTATATTTAAAAGTTTTTCACTTAGAAATATAGTAGGGAGGCAACTATAACCCTCCAAACATTCCTCTTACCCGAAACAGCCACTTTAACACAGGTACAGGACACTGGACGTAGTGATAAGCAGACGTGAGGAAACCTTGTGTTGTCAAAAAAATTTGATCTGTTTTTCCTGATCTGAAAAAATAAAGTAAAATCAACATGACTATTAACTTCATGGCCAAATACTTCTACTATCACCACCACCACATCTGACATTATCAGGGAAATGAGCAAGCAAATCATCTTCGGTCCATGGAGGTGGGCTCTACACCAATATGGATGAGTTACTCATAAAATAAACTCAACTGTTGGCCTAAAGCTGATCCCATCTGTTGGCCTGGCTCCACGTTTAACTGGCGGACAAAGCTACATTTGCTGGTAGTGTTGAAAGAGCGTCTGTCAAGTCTCAGACTGGGTAAGTACTTCAAAATACTGGCACAAGAACTGATGTGATCTCCCTAGACCTGAGGTACTGCGCACCGAGAGAAATTAGATCAGTTCGGGCACTATGGTGGAGATTACTAGTTGCACATCCCAGCATCTACTTTTGCCTTTTTTCTTGGTAACTGAACCCTGATTTGTAGCTGCAAACACAGGCTTCCTGATAAACATCACTCTCTGGCTTCTCTTGTAGCCAAGTGTGGCCATACTGACTAAATTCTATCAACTTAACCTAGTGTGTGGAAATGTTGTGTGGAATTTCTGGGAATTTGAACATAAAGGCTGGAGGTCTAAGCTATTAGAAGCTAGGTGCTAAGAATGGTGGAAAAGAAAGATTTTATCATAAAACCAGCACTCCAGCCCCGGACTTCCTACTTTTATATTTCTTTCAAATATACTTCTTGTTTAAACCACTGTTATTTTGATAGTCACTGTTATTATATACTAATCTTAATCCTAATTATTAAAGGCATGCAGTATGTCAAACAACTATCCTACACTGCTTCCTATAGTTAAAGAAGAAAACATAAAGCTCAATAGTAACAAGAGGATTAGGAAACTTGATAGGTCGTAATAGAAATTAACTTTTTAGAAGATTACATGAGTCAGAGGTCTTTCAGAGTAATATTTTATACATATAAAAGTAAAATGTCTATTTTTCTACTTACTTAAGAATAAGTTTTTCTACAGCACTTTGTCCAATAAAACCAGAGTCTCTTAAATCCAAGGTATACTGATTGAAAATTTTTCCAGAATTGAGAAAGTTAAATATTTCTTCACCTGGGTGATGATCAGGAATAGCATCAACTGTAACTGAAAATTTCTTTAGAAATTCCCTGAAACATTTAAAAAAAGTCAATCAATACCAAATTGCTACACTACACATAGTTTTGTATTTACAAGCTGGGTGCAAAGAAAACTATTTTTTAAAGCAGTGTTAATCCCAAATGAGAAGACTAGCATGAGAAAAGTATGCTTTGCTTCTTCCCCTTTTTGTAGTTGTTAGTCAAAAGCCACTATTTGGCCGGGCGCGGTGGCTCAAGCCTGTAATCCCAGCACTTTGGGAGGCCGAGGCGGGTGGATCACAAGGTCAAGAGATCGAGACCGTCCCGGTCAACATAGTGAAACCCCGTCTCTACTAAAAATACAAAAAATTAGCTGGGCATGGTGGCACGTGCCTGTAATTCCAGCTACTCGGGAGGCTGAGGCAGGAGAATTGCCTGAACCCAGGAGGCGGAGGTTGCGGTGAGCCGAGATCGCGCCATTGCACTCCAGCCTGGGTAACAAGAGTGAAACTCTGTCTCAAAAAAAAAAAAAAAAAAAAAAAGCCACTAATTGTGTCTATGTGAAAAGAAACAATAACTAGGAGAAAAAAGAAAAGACGTAACTTGGCCCTAACATTTGCCTTTCAAACCCATCACAGACAGATTAGAAACCCATCATAGATTATTCACTTACAGCCATCGATTGACTATTTATTTTACAAAAACAAAACGAAAAAATGTAAAAACTTAATAGGGTAAAATACACGATGAAAAATGCTGTACCTGTGCTCTTCTAAGAGGCCATTCTCATCATCTGTACTGTCTTCTTCTCCAATTCTGAGTGGGGATTTAATGCCCCGGCCTTGCCTTATGTCTTCTTGTAGTTGCTTCTGCAGTTCATCTAGCCTGAGAATTGAAAAGATGTTCTAACAGTTTACTCTAAAAAATTTTAAAAAGTCTTTATATCTAAAAGCAGCACAAAGAAAACCCTTAGTATGACAAACTTTGTTATACTATAGGTCAGATTATGTGTTCCAAATGCATCATGATATATAATTTCCTCCCTCCCTCCCTCCCTTCTTTCTTTCAGAGAATATACCAAGTAAATGGTACACAATTTTCACAAAACCAGATGTATTTTAGGTGCTAGGCTTTTACCCAGTTACCAGTGTGGAATTAGAATAGTGTCCCTGCCGGGCGCGGTGGCTCAAGCCTGTAATCCCAGCACTTTGGGAGGCCGAGGCGGGTGGATCACGAGGTCGAGAGATCGAGACCATCCTGGTCAACATGGTGAAACCCTGTCTCTACTAAAAGTGCAAAAAATTAGCTGGGCATGGTGGCACGTGCCTGTAATCCCAGCTACTCAGGAGGCTGAGGCAGGAGAATTGCCTGAGCCCAGGAGGCGGAGGTTGCGGTGAGCCGAGATCGCGCCATTGCACTCCAGCCTGGGTAACAAGGGCGAAACTCCGTCTCAAAAAAAAAAAAAAATTTAGAATAGTGTCCCTAAAGCTAGGACTTCAAGAATGATCTGTCCAAACCACTTAAGAGAATGGAAAGGAAAATGGCAAAGAATAAACATCACTAATTTGATTATCCTCTCTAAGCTTTAAAGCTCATTTGCCTTCTAGATGCCCAACAACCTGATAATGTTAACTAGGCTTTCTAGCAGCAGTAGTTGTGACTGTTATCATCATCATAACACCTAACACTTACTAAGCACTTAACATGTGACAGGCACTGTACTAAGGGCTTTATACATTAACTCTTTTAACTCTCACAACAACCCCATATAGTAGTTTGTTACCCATTTTATAGATAAGGAAACAGGTATTAGAAAAGCAAAGTAACTTGCAAGAGCTTGTAATGCAACAATGTGGGATTCATAGCCAGAGAGTCTAGCTCCAGAGTCCTTGCTTATACTGCCTCTCCAAGATTAAGTTATTTTAAACAAGTTTCTTAGCCCCAGCTTTAAACAGTAGATAAGTACAGCTGAAGAGTAAATAACTAGTAAATGTACCGTTCTATCATTACAGAAAAGGGTCAATCATTTGATTTAACTAGTACCCCGTCTTTCATTTGTCAAGTGCTTGACTTTAAAGGAGGAACTTCAGATTTCATGTCATAGATCATGTGAATTCATGAAATAGTCAAGAATTTTACAATACAGAGAAGTTCTCTAATTAAATTCAGAGATGTGGAAGCTTTTGAACTATTAATCATCTGCAAAATTCCTAAAGCTATCTCCTTAGTTATCAAGTCTGAGATATGTAGCACATACCAACTTTTATGTAATGAAGTCAGCTGAGCTGTTAGTGAAGTTCTCCAGGCTGCTGTTCAAGGATACTCTCTGAATTAATAAGGAATATATTTTCCCCCCCCTTATTAGCAAAACCTGACCATAAAGTCACATAAATTTCATTAAGATCATTACAAGCCTCAGCTTCCTGATATCTCCCTCTTGTGCATGTGCGTGTGTGTGGGGGAGGCGTTCATCATAATTCTAAACTTCTTTCTCAAGAGTAACTTGATAGAAATATTTAGAAATACGTCAGAAAATTCTACCTGTGTGAACAAACCCTTCCCGCACCAAACAACCCAATTCAAAACAGGCACAAAATTGAAAAACACGTTTCTCCAAAGAAGTTATACAAATGGCCAAAAAGCACACGAAAAGATGTTAATATCATCAGCCACTAGGGAAGGCAAACCAAACAACAGGGATACCACTTTACTATTAGGATGGCTATTACCAAAACAAACAAAAAACAAAGAAAAAATAACACGTTGGCTAAGATGTGGAGACACTGGAACCCTTATTCATCGTTGGTGCAGGTGTGCAGTGGTGCAGCCATTGTGAAAAACTGTGGTGGTTCCTCAAAAATTTAAATGGAATTACCATAGAATCCAGGCAATCCGCTTATGTGTATATGCCCAACAGAATTTAAAGGAGAGACTTGAAGAGATATTTGTATACCCATGTTCATAGCAGCATTATTCACAGTAGCCAAAAAGTGGAAGCAATCCAAAGGTCCACTGATAGATGACGAAAAAAAATGTGTATACACATAATACAATGAAATAATCAGCTTTAAAAAGAATGGGAATTCTGACACATGCTACAATATGAATGAACTCTGAAGATACTGTCCTAAATGAAATAAGACAGTCATAAAAGGACAAATATAATACCACTTATATTTGTCAATTGACTATTTTAGATATCTAAAATAGTCAATTTCATAGACAAAGTAGAAGGGTAGTTGCTGAAGATGGGAGGAAGGGGAGAATGGGGAGTTATTGTTTAATGGGTATGGAGTTTCAGTTTGGAAAGATGAAAAGTTCTGCAGCTAGATGGTGGTAACAGTTGCACAACATATAAATGTACTTAATGCCACTCAACTGCACATGTAAAAATGTTTAAAATGGTAAATTTTATATGTATTTTCCATAAAAAAAACACACACATAGAATTCTACCCATGCTTTTGATCAAGAATTTCAGCTATCAGATACTAGTTGTAATAAACAGAAAGGAATTTGTATCATTAGTGCAGTATACTATAAACACCTGGATCTTTTGATCCAGTCTATGAACAAGAAAGCCCATCTTATTTATTTTTTTTTTTTGAGATGGGGTCTCATTCTGTCACTCAGCCTGGAGTGCAGTGGTGCAATCACAACTCACTGCAGCCTTGATTTCCTTGGGATCAGGTGATCCTCCCACCTCAGCCTGTGTGGTTGCTGGGACCACAGGCGTGTGGCAGCATGCCTGGCCAATTTTTGTTATTTTTTGTAGAGATGGGGTTTCACCATGTTACCTAGGCTGGTCTCAAACTCCTGCCTTGGCCTCTTAAAGTACTGGATTACGTTAGTAATCCAACACACCTGGCCTCTTTCCTTTTTTTTCATTTGAGATTGAGTCTCGCTCTGCCACCCAGGCTGGAGTGAAGTGGCACCATCACCACTCACTGCAGCCTTGAACTCCTGAACTCAAGTAATCTTTCTGCCTGGGTCTCCCAAGTGTTGTGATTATAGGTGTGAGCCCCTGTGTCCGGCCAACATATCTTACTCTAACACAGTTGACAACAGAACTATCAAAATGATACTAGCCTAAAATGCATGCTAATTTCTCATGATTTTTAAAAAAGGTAAATTAAAAGTAAGTCACACAAGAAGAACGTTAAATTTAGCAAATTAATCTTTATGCTAACAAACCTTTGTGTGTCTTCCATCTCCTTCACTAGACGCTCTAAGGTATTTGTGTAAGTTCCAGGATGAACTGGTTCCTAAAACAAGGAGAAAATTTAGAAATACTTTACTACATGTCTCAGTAGAACTGGGATGTCTTAAGCAATTAAGGGTAGTAAAGACTATTTTCTATTTCAATAATCTGGGCCAGGATAACACCTTTCTTAAAGGATAATTTTCATCATCATGCTTTAAATCTATTATTTTGCACTGCAAACAATTAGATTTTACTACCTATTAGGAAAGTACTTATAAAACCCTGCTAACTTTGAGATCTGACTGCAAACACTTAAGAATTCTGTGGCTACCCTGTCTTTACTTTCAAATTCGATTTTAGTAGAATGAAACTACTAATTTTTAGGTGTTACCATGGAATATTAACACCTTCCCCACCAAATTTTACAGACATCCTAGAATTCAGCTTATTCCCAAGATAGAATGAAGCACTTTATAAATAAAATTGCACACCACAATCAACAACATTTCTACACTCTACCTTCATTTACAGATGTGGTCTCCAAAGCAGGGGGTGTGCAAGGTGATCCATTGGGGTGCAGGAAGAAAATAATAGAACTTCTATTTATATGGAACTTCTATAGAAACTCCAGTAGAACTTAGTCTATAGTAACTTCTACATAACTTCTATAGGAAAATAGTTATTTTTTTCTTCTTCTTCCTTTTAAATTCTGTTTTTGCATATGCTTTAGAAAGTACACAGTATTATAGTGGTACATATATATAATCTAAAGGTTTACACATATGTTGGGGTACATGCTCAAAAACTGTTTACTCACAGAAGTGTGTGTGATCAAAAGAGTTTGGAGACCACTGATTTACAGTTATAAAAGTAAAGATAATAGAAACTCTTTTACCAAATAAGAATTACTCCATTTTCAGTCCAATTATGGGTTACAGTAAACACTAAATTTTAAAGTAAGTTCCAATAATCCACCCCTTTCACTAATTAATCATCTTTCCCTCTTCAAGTAAAGATAAATGCCACAGAACTACTTACTGTATAGTCTGATGACTGGGATCTAAGCCCCTTGGAAAGAGCAGGAGGCTTTCCTGTAGGTGCAGGAGTCTGATTGAAGTTCAAAGCCATTATTTCTTCCAGTGATTTTAATGTTTCCTCTTCCTCATCACTGTCTAGGTTGTAACCTAAACTTTCTTCATCACTATCAAAATCACCCCTTAGTTTTCTTTTCAGTGCACTGCTACCCGCATTAGAATTTCCTGAACTCTCTTTTTCTGAAGGGGCTTTATCTGAAGGTGCTGGAGGGCTTGGGATACATGACACAACTTCCAAAGCAGCTGGGGGAGACTTTGTAGGAGTGCCATATTCTGAGCGCAAAGATCCCCCAGAAAATTTCCCTGAAGATACATTAGAATCGGCCTTATTAGTCTTTGCTTTGTGTTCCCTGTGTTTGGTGGATTCTGTAGAATGCCCAGAACATTCTTTAGATGAGGAACGCTCTTTGTCTCTTTTAGAAACTGGAGGAGTACAATTTTTAGCATTTAATGGTACCCGAGAGGAACCAGCACTTGGAACATGGGAAAGTAAAGGTAGTTTTGTCTCCTTTGATGTTACGGAGCTAGCGGTTTTATTTTTCTGAAGGTTGCTAGCTTTTTTAGCTGCAGAATTCTCCTGAGGTAAAGGTAAGTGGGGTTTCTGCATCTTAGTCTCTTTGGTACTTGCCATTCGGATTTGGTCACTGTTCCTGGAAGAATGGTGGCCGGAATTTGCAGGTGCCAAGCCTGCAGAAGAGCGATCAGTTTCGTAATTCGGTTCCTTGGATATATCTTCTAAGCGCAACACATCACCAGGTGTCTTGAGTGCAATATGTCTTATAAATTTTTCTTTCTGATGTGGTCCATCAGGACGCTTCTCAAGGAAGGACTCTTTTGCTTTTGGTGTCATAGATTCTCTTGTGCTTTTCAGATCTGAGTCCACAGAGTTCCTTTTTCTTTTGTCAGGGAATTTATTCTGCTTAGAGCCTGCTAAAATTTAATTTTTGTTAGATTAGTGAAAAATATACTTTCCAACTTTAGTAAAGTTTATTCAGTGAATGTCTAGAACACCCGAATGAAATGTTTAAAATTCTAAGTATTAAGGCCGAGATTAGTCACCACATATGGAATAAAGAAAAAGAGTATATGTTATTTATCAACTGGATAAATACTGGTGTTCAAGAAATTTAAAACTAAAGACAAATTCTCATTTTCATTCCAAAGCTATGAAAAGTTTACTACCTTAACAGAATTAAAGATGCCACTCCCTCAAACAAACAACTAATCTCACAAAAATTAAATTTTAGCAGTTAAGGATCCCATAGGCATTTTCCGTCAAGTAGAAATTCTTTTAAACCTAGGACTACCTGGTTGCAGAAATGTAATACTTCTACATTTAAAACACATATAGGATAAGTAGTTGAAGGCAGATAAATGTGAATTTCTCATTTAAAAAAAAAAAAAAAAATCACGTTGGGTCCCAATGCAGTATGACTGGTGTACTTACACAAGGGAAAATCTGAAGACAAAGACAGACATGCAGAGGGAATACAAAGGGAAAATACACAAGGAAAAGATGCTGTGTGACTGGAGTGATGCAGCTGTAAGTCAAGAAATGCTACAGAGTGCAGGTGAACACCAGAGGCTAGAACAGGTAAGGAAGTATTCTCCCCTAGAGTTGCCAGAGACATCATGGCCCTATTTGTTAGGGTCACAGCAAGGCAAGCCCATACATCCCCTCCCTGTTCTCCCTGCTAGGCCAAGCTCATTAACAAAAACAAGTCTCAAGCCTTATAAACAAGGCAACTAGGTTCCAGGATGTGGTCACACCCAGCTCTTGAACCCAGGATGTTGACCTAATTAAGTAGAATGTTGGCCCCTGAGAACCAAGATGGGGTTTTTCTTAGAATAACACCTCACTACCTGCAAGCCCCCTCTATAACCTCTAGAGTCTGTAAGCCAGGTTGCTGCCTTCACTGCCTGTGATGAGGCAGCCAGCCTGGCAAGTGGAAATAAACTTGCTAAATCTGACCCTAGATCTGCCTCTCCATCCTTTTGGTCAACCTTGCATTTTGGTGCTGAAACCTGGGATGGGAGTAGGTGCTGGCTGCTCTTTCTCTCTATCTCTCCCCTCCGCTAGCCTCTCCATTCCGAACCCCTTTCCAGACCCAGGAGGGAAACCCCAGGCCTCCATTGCCAACTGCAGTTATCTCCATCCAAATCATCGCCTCCCAGCGGTAAGCTGAATAGAGGTTTTGCCTCTGCTCGGGTTCCTTGACAGTTCATTTTCTGTCCGAAAGTTCCAGCGGTAGGCTGAGGACACCCTTCCAGCCCCAGGGACCTCAGTCCTGTCACCTTGGGGATGCCTAATTCGACAGTGACTGTTTCAAATTCACTGTCTCAGGTAGAGAAAACAGGGCAGAGGACGCCCCCTCCTGTCTTCCTTCTCTTCGGCAGCCTCCTTCTCTTCCGGCCTTTCACCATGGGGTCCAGACAGTCCATTCCGTCTAAGACTACCCCCTTAGGATGCCTCCTCCGAAATTTGGACTCCCTTGGTCTCCGGTCTGAAGTCAGGCCCAAGAAGAATTAATTTTCTATCGTAATATGGCCTGGCCCCAATAGAAATTAGACAATGGTTCTCAGTGGCCTGAGCATGGTATTTGCGATTTCAACATTCTCCGGGACCTTGACAATTTCGGTCTGGTAAATGGTCTGAGGTTCTCTCCGGCACCGCCCCTCTCTGTTAGTCCTGCTCTACTTTCCAAATCCCCCGCGCCCACTCAAAACCCGACTCAACCCCTCTCACAGCGTGGGGGATGATGTGTCCTCTTTCCACCCAGTTGACTTCCCTCCTCCCAGCCAACGCCCTGAGCCTCCACCAGGACACCCTGGACCTCTGCCTTACACCCCAACTCCAGCTCTCCTCTTGTCCCCTCCTCTCTCCAATCCCCCTGCTTCCGACTCTGACTCCTCTCCATCTCTAGCCCACACCTGCTCCAGGACCTGGCATCCCCGGAAGCCAGCTCCCTTACTCCCCCTTCGAGAAGTGGCAGGGATGGAAGGCATTGTCCATGTTCATGTCCCCTTCTCTCTATCTGATCTCTCCCAAATCAAAAAGGGTCTCGAGTCCTTCTCCTCCAATCGAGACACTTACATCAAAGAATTTAAATATCTTACCCAGTCTTATGAACTCACTTGGCATAATCTCGATATTATCCTCTCTTCTACCCTCCTTCCAAAGAAGAAGAAAAGAGTGTGGCTCACAGCCCAAGCACCTGTTGACAATCTTCATTGGCAAAATCCTACTAAGCCTGTAGGAGCTGCCACCATTCGAGGAAAAGCCAGCCTAGGCCAGATCCAGGCCAAGAGTCCCAAAACCATCTAATTACTTGCCTTATTGAAGGCCTTAATAAAGCTGCCCATAAGGCTATGAATTTTGAAAAACTCAAGTTTCCCAAAAGGGAGACAAAAATCCTGCCCAGTTCCTTTCCCCCCTTACAAAGGGCCTCCAAAAATACACTCGCGTTAATCCTACCCTCAAGAAGCCACCATAGTTCTTAACACTCATTTTATCTTCTAGTCTGCTCCAGACATCCGACGTAAACTCAAAAAGGCTGAAGATGGCCCTCAAACCCAAGAAGACCTCCTTAACCCGGCTTTCAAGGTCTTCAATAACAGGGATAAACCAAGTAAAATTGCCAGGCGCGGTGGCTCAAGCCTGTAATCCCAGCACTTTGGGAGGCCGAGGCGGGTGGATCACGAGGTCGAGAGATCGAGACCATCCTGGTCAACATGGTGAAACCCCGTCTCTACTAAAAATACAAAAAATTAGCTGGGCATGGTGGCGCGTGCCTGTAATCCCAGCTACTCAGGAGGCTGAGGCAGGAGAATTGCCTGAACCCAGGAGGCGGAGGTTGCGGTGAGCTGAGGTCGCGCCATTGCACTCCAGCCTGGGTAACAAGAGCGAAACTCCGTCTCAAAAAAAAAGCTCAAAACAGCTGGGTGCAGTGGTTCATGCCAGTAACACCAGAACTTTGGGAGGCCAAGGTGGAAGTTCTTGAGCTCAGGCGAAACTCCACCTCTACAAAAAACATAACCCCATCAATCCCTTCTCTACTTAGAACATTTCTTATCTTTTGGCCATGTCCGGTGGCTCACACCTGTAATCCTAGCACTTTGGAGGCTGAGATGAGAGGACCACTTGAGCTCAGGAGTTCGAGACCAGCCTAGGCAACATGGTGAAACACTGTTTCTACAAAAAATACAAAACTTAGCTGGGTGTGGTGGCATGGGCCTGTATTCCCACCTACTTGGGAGGCTGAGGTCGGATGATTGCTTGAGCCCCATGAGGCTACAGTGAGCTGTAATCATGCCATTGCACTCCAGCCTGGGTACCAGAGTGAGACCCTGTGTCAAAATTAATAAGTAAAATGAAGTCCCCCAAAACCAAACTTGAGAGTTAGGCAATCATTATTTGTATAGGTTGATCAATATAATCTGGAAAATTCAATGTATAAAAATGAAATTAATTAATAAACAAATGCATAAAGAAATGCTGTTCTTTTATAGATATCTCCCATTGCCTGAAGAAATCATTCCATCCCATTCAGTTTTCTGGGGTTAAATTTCTTATAAAAAAAGGACAGGGGTCATAGGATGAGAAATTAAATGACTAAACCAAAGAGAAGATCTGGGGTACTGATTATTATACTTTTTAAGTATGGGATTACAAAAAAAAGAGTGACAGAGCTGCCAGTATGAGTTTTGTTTGGTTTTTCTAGATAAGTCAGATAATTTAAATAAAAGTAGAAATGAGGAGAAATTCCTGCTTTGCCCAGGAATTATCCAGGGCTCCTCCAGGAGGAGACAAACACTGTTTTTTGGAAGATGTTTAGGACAAGTCAGCTTATTAAGAGGTTTCATCAACTAGAATTAGAGAAAAGTGGATCGGTACTGCAGGTAGGATCCCTTTTAGTAAGCTCTTCAGGTCAGGTGATTAATTGCAAAATATTCATAATTCTTTTTGTATCCTTTGTTCAGCCTGTACAGAATATTTGTTTTACAGTTTTTCAAATATTTCAAATATACTAATACATAAAATACTCATACAACAGAGGGATTGAGTTTGTAAAAAGATTAAAAAAAAAAAAAAAAAAAAAAGGCTGGGCGTAGTGGCAATTGCCTGTAATCCCAGCACTTTGGGAGGCTGAGGCAGGAGGACTGCTTGAGCCCAGGAGTTGAATGCTGCATTGAGCTATTGCACCACTGCATTCCAGCCTAGAAGACAGTGAGACTCCATTATTAAGAAAAAGAAAAAAATCCAATGGCCATTTATAGGTGACTGGTTATTAATCAGTTATGAAATGTACTAGCGATGTACTAAATTTCACCTCAGAAGTCAGCCAAAAGACAGGGCCTAATGTCTACTGTTAGAAGACCAAAGGGCCAAATCCCTATTCTACCATTACTTCTGAAATCCCTGAACTTGTATGTGATTAATGACTGTGTGATTACGTACATCACCATGACAATTGATAAGTGGAATAATAAGATGAACACGACATACCATTTATTTACTTACTTACTTATTTATTTATTTAGACCAAGTCTTGCTCTGTTACCCAGACTGGAGTGCAGTGGTACCATCGTGGCTCATTGCAACCTCCACCTTCCAGATTAAAGCGATTCTCCTGCCTTAGCCTCCTGAGTAGCTGGGAATACAGGTGTGGACCTCCATGCCCAGCTAATTTTTTGTATTTTTCGTAGAGATAAGGTTTCACCATGTTGGCCAGGATGGTCTCAAACTCCTGACCTCAGGTGATTCTCCTGCCTCAGCCTCCCAAAGTGCTGGGATTACAGGAGTGAGCCCCTGTGCCTGGCCTGGATTTTTAATAACTTTGCTATTAGACACAATAAGCATTCATCATGCTATCTAGAGCGAAATATCCCCTTGTCCTTTATATGATGAAATTCTGTTGATGTTAGTTGATTGAAGTAAAAATGTACATTTATTTAGCATATAATGCTATAATTATTACTGATTATGAAATATATGCAAAAATATTAGTAATAAAAATGTAAGTGAAGGCAACCATCATAAGTCAGCCTCTAAAAATATGTAGAAAGCATATTTTCCAAGTAGAACTCAAAAATTTTGCTCTGTGGGATTATATAAATGAAACTGCTTCAGCCACCATGAATGAAATTTATAAATCCAGGAAATTAAAAGATTTTTTAAAATCTTAAATCAGAGAAAAAAGCAAAGGAATAATGTGGCAGCCACACCACCAGAAGCAGCCCCTTATACAAAGTAATATTTTGTTCTTACATTAGCTTTGGTGCAAAGTGATCATGTATTTAGTATTACAAATGTGCAATGCAGTGAGTGCAGAAGCAATCTCCTGGCTGGGAAATTTCTGTTCTTCCACAATAATGTCAAAATTCACCAAAATCTGGTCATAAAATCAGCAACATTATAAAAATTAAATAAATAAAAAACACATACAATTTTAGATTTACTCCTATATCCTACAAGTTCCTTCTATGATAGTAAAATATGGTTTCAGCCTTGGCTCAAGATTGATTTTACTAGCCGAGAGTGCTTAGTCAAAATGCAATGCACCTCTAAAATATAAATAAAATGAAGTAGTAGGTGAAACCTGAAGGAATTAGAACTGTCTCTCTGTACTTCCATTTCTAAAGGTAAACCACTGTATAAAGTTATGAGGATCAAATGAATTAAAAGCACATAAAACGGCATAGCACACTATAAGTACTTAATAAAAGTCAGCTACTGTCATGTCCAACGTATTTTACTGAATGTGAGAATTTGTCTCTTTTTCAAAATGTATAGTCATATCAGGAAAAAAATCTGATACACTAGACTATTAACTGTTGTTAGTTGTGGAGACCTTTCATTTCTTGTTGCAAACTTCTGCAGTGTTTGATTTTTTAAATCTTCTATTTTCTAGTAAAAAAAAATAAAATGTACTGAATTAACAGTACGTTTGTTATTTTATGTTTTTTTCAATCAATACGTGATAAAAGTACAAACCAATGTCATGTAGCTATCCCTGAAATTTAATATTAAAAAGGGATCCTTGTATTGAAATATTAGAAAGCACTGCTTTGGATCATGGTCACAGTTTCAACCTTACACAAAGCATCCTCAAGATAATACCAAGGCCTCAGTCTACAACTCCAAGATTATATTATGTTATTTGATGTAGCCAAGGATTCAGAAAGAGACAACACTGAATACCAATATGAGAAACATATTGTCAGGAACTCTTGAAGAAGGCAGAGAGAAGATTCAAGACAGGTAACAAATTATACAAACAGTACTAGGCCAGGTGTGGTGGCTCATACCTGTAATCCCAGTACTTTGGGAGGCTGAGGCAGGAGAATCACATGAGCCCAGGAGTTTGAGACCAGCCTGGGTAACACGGCAAAACCTCATCTCTACAAAAATACAAGAAACTATCCAGGCATGGTGGTCCACATCTGTAGTCCCAGCTACTCAGGAAGCTGAGGTGGGACAATCACTTGAGCCCACCAGGTTAAGGATTACAGTGAGTCGTGATCATGCCATTGCATCCCAGCCTGGGTGACAGAGTGAGACCCTGTCTCAAAAACAAACCCAAATTATAAGTACTAAATTCAGGGACCATTCTTTTTAACTATAATTTACCAAACTCTTAATTAACATGAGACACTGAATTCATCCCCAAGAAGGGAACTACATATTTAAACAAATTTGCTTTAAAAAGCCATTAAGATGAAAATTTATTTAGAAATTCAGAAATTTAATTTTGGTTCTACCTGAAGTAGGTTCCCATGAATCAGAAGAGGATCTTTTTCTTGAGAGATGTCCATTTTCCTATGAGCAAAATGAGATAAAATTAATTAAGTCTTGGGAACAGTAAAGAATGTGAAGGCACTCTTCCTAACATTTAAACACAGATTTCTAGATTGAATAAAGCAAGGACCCATATTTGGAGGTAAAGCCGAACATTTAAAGACCTTAAGGTTTTTATCATAAAAATTAAGGGCATTTATATCACAAAAATGTAAAAATATCACAAAAATGAACTCAGTTTTTATAATGCTCATTTACATGTTTATATCAGTAATTCAAGACTAATATATTAGAAAACTGCATTTTTTTTGGCCGGGCGCGGTGGCTCACGCCTGTAATCCCAGCACTTTGGGAGGCCGAGGCGGGTGGATCACGAGGTCGAGAGATCGAGACCATCCTGGTCAACATAGTGAAACCCCGTCTCTACTAAAAATACAAAAAACTAGCTGGGCGTGGTGGCACGTGCCTGTAATCCCAGCTACTTAGGAGGCTGAGGCAGGAGAATTGCCTGAGCCCAGGAGGCGGAGGTTGCGGTGAGCCGAGATCGCGCCATTGCACTCCAGCCTGGGTAACAAGAGCGAAACTCCGTCTCAAAAAAAAAAAAAAAAGAAAACTGCATTTTTGAGACAGGGTCTCACTCTGTCACCCAGGCTGGAGTACAATGGTGTGATCAAGCTCACTGCAACCTTCTCCTGGGCTTAAGCAAGCCTCCCACCTCCGCCTCCTAAGTAGCTAGGACAATAGGTGCAAGCCACCATGACTGGTTTTTTTTTTTAATTTTTAATTTTTAGTAGAGTCGAGGTCTCGCTATGTTGCTCTGGCTGGTCTCAAACCCCTGAGCTCAAGCAATCTTTCCACCTCAGCCTCCCAAAGTGCAGGAAGCAGGAGGACTGCTTGCAGCCAGGAGTTCAAGAACAGCCTGGGCAATATAGGAAAACCCTGTCTCTACAAAAAATAAAAAAATTAGTCAAATATGGTGGCATATGCTTGCAGTCTCAGCTATTTGGGAAGCTGAGGTGAGAGCATCATCTGAGCCTAGGAGTTTGTGACTGCAATGAGACATGATCTTGCCACGGCCCTCCAGCATGGGTGACAGAGCAAGACTGTCTACACAGAAATAAGACTATACTTGCCTTTAAAGAAATGCTTACTTTTCTGACTAAAAAAGATCTTCGTTCTTGGTCTAAAAAAACTAAGGACAAGAAACACTGCTTTACCGAGTTCAGTGAACGGCATGGAGGATACCTAGTGAAACCAGCTTCTACACAAATTGCCTAAGTATTTCCTTAAGGAAAGACATCAATGTGATGTAACAACTCTTATATATTTTAAAATTTAGTATTCTAAATATGATATAGCAGTAGCAATGCTAATTCAATAATTATGACACATACCACATTTGAAAGATTAGTCTTTCTAGGTATGACGTCATTCTGTTTACTTTGCTCCTGCCTTGGTTTGTATTTTCTTTCTATACTAGAAGATTTAAGGGAAAGATTGCTTGTTTCTGAGAAAGAATTTTCAGAGTTGATTCTCTGTTCCATTTGCTTCTTTCTCAACCTCTTTAGTTCTCGTTCTCTGCGGTAAGAAGCTAGTGACAACTGGAATTTAGCTCCCAATGGGCTTTCTCCTGGGTGGTGCCTGGACAGGCTGCTCCTGCTGCTGAGACTTCTGGAGCTGTTCTTGAGAATGTCAGCTTCTGCCACCGTGGTCTGCTTTTTGGAGTCTGCATTGGTTTTGTCTCGATCTCTATCATTCTTCTCCCTATTTTCACGAATGAATAGTGATTTCCTTCTCTCTGGGGATCGATGTTTTTTCTTTAGTGGCTTCATCTCCTTTGGCGAGCGATATGAAGAAGGAACATAGACATTTGCTCCTTTGGCTAAGTATTTGGAGGCTAGTGATACACAAGGCCGACGTGACTCATGTACACCATGATCTTTATGGTGCTCTTTACCACCTTTCATGAAAGCTTCGATAATAGGGCTCTTTTCTGGTGCCATCCTTTTGGGTTTAGATTTTTTTGGTGAGGATAGTTTCCTTTCAAACTGCTCTGTCCCAGTGATGGACAATCTACTTCCTCCATATTTGATGTTTGATTTTTGTGGTGAATCCAACATGTGTCTGTCTAAATAGCCAATTAAAACACATACAAATTGCATGTTACTAAAAATAAAATATTTCATATTTATCTCAATTATTAATGTTTAAAATACTAAATTAAACTACACTAATGTTACCGCAAAAATTTTCAAACCAATAACTTGGATAATGATACACACTTCATTGGGAGGTATAAGAGAAATTAAGACAGGATTTATTTGTTAAAAGCCTTACTTTCATAAAGCTCTCTTTTGGTACATCGCATAGCCTCCCTACGGTTCTATAAATTACTGTATTAGAGAGTGAAAATAGTACACATTAAGAACATTAAATTTTTGACTAGAGTAATATTTTAAACATATGAAAACATAACAGCAAAAAGACTTTCCTCATATTTAGAACTTGCTTATCCTTGTAATAAAAAACAACTGTATCTTCATATTTTCAATTTTGAACACTACGTTTACTAAAATAGCTTAGAGTAGGTTTTAAAGTTGAATCTGTCTCTCTCCTCACCCCCAAAATAGCCTACAAAAATTGTACCAATAGTGTACATACCTTGTTTTGAAGCTGGTTTGAAGAAATCTATAATTGACTGTTTCCTGAAAATAAAAGCATAATATGGCATCATATAAGCAAATATTAAAACCTCCACAGTTCAGATTAAATGGAGAAAGTCAGATTTATAAAATAAAGGCTGGATTTCACTATTCAGTTTAACTTAATAAAGTTTTGACAATGATAATAACGCTTTGCTAAGCTGTTCATTTAAAAAACTGAAAATATAATGCATCACTTCCTATAGGAGTTCATTTATAAAAAATACAACTGAAGTTTACATTATTTATAATACTTAAATAGGTAAGACAGGCATGTAGACCCAAGGAATTAGGATAGAGTGCTTCTTAAGACTGAAATGCTCACTGCTACATGGTAGAATGCAACACCTTGGGTATAAGCATTTGAACCTACTTGTTCTCTCCAGACATTCATACAAAATAACTACTTAGTATCTAAGCACAGCTGCATTTTAAAATTTAGAAAAGCTAAAATAAAACAAAACAAAAGGCAATACATGTATGCCAAATGAATAATGAGGGTTCTAAAATGGAATAAAACCTGAACAGACTCTCATAACCAGAGTAGAACAATAGATGGTAGAAAGGCAATATGGGTGATTTGGCTGATCTAGGGAGTCAGGTGAAGAAGAGTTCGCTGGACAAAGAAAATAAAAGTACCAAACTTACACTACTCTCTTTATACATTACTTTAACATGTTAATTTCAGTAACAGTAGAAACTAGAATGAGTTGTAATAATTAAATAATTTCAAATCCTCAATTTTTTAACAAAAAACCTTAAGATATTTACAAAAACAACCTATTGCTTTGGAAAAACATAAGGAGAAAAGGAAGAAAGTTAGCAAGAATAACAAAAACCAAATTAATTTTTAAGGATTTCTGTACCCTAAAGACTGGATTTCACTGTCTGGTTTAACTAATCAAGTTCCGACATTGGCAATAATGCTAAAGTGAAATAGAAACCCATTATCAGAATTTGTATTCTGATTTGTTCACTGTATTTAGAGTTGTCAGCTGCAAAAAGGGGGATGTTATGATATGCTGAGCAAAAAATTAACTTTCTGGTAAATTTTGCTAAAAGGTATCATTTTACTGAAAGAGAATAAGTGATAGACTACTGGTTTCCCTGAACATTTATCCACTATGAGGTTGGAAAGTTCAGTGAAAACTCCAACAATCCAAGTTTCTGGAAGTTTAATAAGCTTCTTGTACACTTTACTGGTCACATTAGAAAAGCAATGTCCATCTTTAATGGTTTACCAAGTCCTTCATGTTTTTTTGAGATATTGGTATAAAAGCTAAGTGCTTATGAGATGAATATGAGTGACAGGCTATGAAAGAGGATATGCATTTGTTTACATAAATTATACTAGGCAAATTAACTCCCCCAGAGTTAAGAAAGAAATATTGGAGGTTCAGCAAAGGCGAGAAGGATGATGCCTTGTTATCGACTGAAGAGAGACAGGAAGGGACCCAGAAGCAGCTAATTTTTTGCAAACAAAATACTTCGAAATACATTTTTACTAAATGTAACACTGTATCTCTTCCCTAAAATATTGTACTTCAGACTCCTTTTTGATTAATATACCGGATAGAGAAAAAATGGTTTTGGGTAAAACATACAAGAAACCTGTAAAATAACCATGAATGCAACTTTGAAGAGGTACATTCTCTAAGTTCCTATGCACACAAATGTCCACTGCTTATTTAATAATTGGCTAAAAAAAAAAAACCGTAATTATAACAGCTTCACAAACCCTTATCTGAACCTTCTGGGACCAAATGTGTTTTAAAATTCTGAATTTAACAGATTTTAGGAAGGGGGTAACTTGGGTATATTATGCAAAGTTCCCAGCGGGGTCTGGTGCCGCAATCTGTAATCAAACTCACTGATATTTCTCCAGCAAAACACGAATACTTACGCTTACTGGGATAAAGACCATAAACAGCCTTACATTAGTTCTGGTCAGGTCTGGCTGCCATGTAAGACGTGGTGCCAAACTTACTGAAAACGTTTGGTTTTCATAGATTTCTGGCTTTCAGAATTAAGATAAGGGCTTGTGAACCTGCACCACAGCATGAGAACATGAATACTGTTAAAAACTTGTTACAATTTAACTTAAAATAAAAGACAGCACCAAGTTCGTAAGGAATTTAAACATGTTTTATTGTCAGAGGATTCATTAGATGAAATTCCCCATCTCATTACATAGCCCCCGCAAAATCTTTACAAAAAAATTGGCCTCTTGGAGAGGCGTTAAGTTACTGAAAGAGAAAACACGTCACATTTCAAATCTATAAGTTCTTTTAAGTATGAATTAGCGTGCACGCTGGGCTACAAAGTAATTCGTGGAAGGGATTCCCCTCATCACAGGTTACATAATTTCACCCACAACATAGAAAAGGTTTGTATTACTAAACCACTAGCATCAGTAGAACTGACAACGTACAGAAAACGACCTAAATATGCATTAAGCAGTTAGGGTCCCGGGTCGAACACTCGCAAAGGAAAAAAATCACATTCATTCTACCTTAAGGCGGGTTCTCCGTAGCCGTCCAGGCTGGTGATCACTAGACCAAGAGCAGCTGCCCAACTACAGAGAAGCAAACTCCAACAACCAGAAGCCCCTGCGCGGAGGCGGGGCGGGGCGGGGGTTTGCCAGGCCCCGAAACGCCAACGCCTGAACTCGCGAAGGATGGCGGGAACTGGAAGAGCGGCGGTCTGCAGTCCTCCCCTCCTACCCTTGCCCCCGCGATCCGGCCCCTTCTCAAGCCCTCTGCACGGTACCTGTCCCCAGGACTCTCTGTTCTCTTTCCCGCTGCAGCAGGGGTGGTACTACCGGGTCTCAGATGGCAGCGCGGGGGCGACGACCCCGGGGCTGGGGATGAGGGGAAACCTGGCCTAGCGAGCATGCAGCGCCTTGTCATGTCGGCGCCGCTGGCGACGGCGGCATGAGCCGTAGCTGGAGAAGTTGGGTGCGTGGTTGCCGTCTTGCTGCTGGGACCTGGGGAGGCTGTCGGAGCAGAGGTGGGCGGCACCCCCTTCTATCTTCATGGCGCTTCTCTCTTCGGAAGTGACTCCGGTGTGAGCGGGAAGGAACCTGAGGATCAGTGAGGGGCGGGTCTTACTTCATGAGTCACGTCGTGATTGGGTGCTACGGCGGTCATTTCGGTGGTGGCACAATAGGAAGCCGCAGCCTCTCTGGAGAAGGCGGGGCTTGGGGACGGAGGAGGAAGAAAACTCTCCCTCCCACCCCGTCACATGCACCGGGGGCGCGCGCCTCCGGTCGGGGCCGCCTCGGCCTTGGCGGGCGCGCGGGGGCGGAAAGCGCGGGCAGCGGCTGAGACTGCGACAGCTGACGACACCAGCCTGGTTGAAGGCGAGGGGTGAGGGTTTGCTGTAGCAAACCGGAGCCCGGCAGCTGCCGTCGGTGAGGGTAGCCATCACTTGGGTTTCCTGTGTCACACAGTTGTGCTTTAGAAATCCCCAGCTGTTCATTACGTCGTCTCTTTAACATCTTAGGCCAACGTGCCATAATACTATCACAATTTCCTGGGAGATCTGCACAGCGCAATACGAAGACTTGTCCATCCTACGAGGGTTCTTGTTAAGTGTCAGCGGTAATTTTTTTTTTTTTTTTCTCTCTCTTTAAGAAGAAAAAAACCAAAAAACTCCATTGGAATAAAGACAGTTTTTAATCCACAAAAGCGTTTTGTTTCTCATGAGTTACCCGTGAAATCTGCAGCCAGCTTCCTTGGAGATTTTTTAAAGGAACACAAGGTCAGCTTTTAATTTTGCATGTTAAGCGTGGGCGGCATAGATGAGTAAAAGCTGCCGGCAATCTCCAGACCTCCTTTGTAAAGGGCTTGTGCTCTGGAGGCTGTTAGCCAGGGTTTTCCTTATAAACCGAGACTGTCAGAGTATCTCTGAATCTCAGCCTCCACGTCTGTAAAATGGGCATTTTACTCACTTTTCTGGGTAATTGTAAACCGTAAAAGAATAAAGCAGTATACACTGCACACTTCAGATTTTCTCATGTAACAGGTACTGAGCAAATTATAGTTCCCTTTCTTCCAGATAAATTGTTACTCTTAAGTGAATTTTACTTCTTTTTTTTTCTTTTTTTTGAGACGGCGTTTCGCTCTTGTTACCCAGGCTGGAGTGCAATGGCGCGGTCTCGGCTCACCGCAAACTCCGCCTCCTTGGTTCAAGCAATTCTCCTGCCTCAGCCTCCTGAGTAGCTGGGATTACAGGCAAGCGCCACCATGCCCAGCTAATTTTTTGTATTTTTAGTAGAGACGGGGTTTCACCATGTTGACCAGGATGGTCTCGATCTCTCGACCTCGTGATCCACCCGCCTCGGCCTCCCAAAGTGCTGGGATTACAGGCTTGAGCCACCGCGCCCGGCTGAATTTTACTTCTTACAAAATCTTCCAGGACTGGTCAAATACTGTTGCAATAACTTAACAACCAAAGTATCAATCTCAAGATGTCCAAGCTTTAATTGACAGAGTTGTTTAATCAGTTGGCTGGAACGAAATCTTAAATGATATAAAAGAATTTGCGCAGGTCTTTCAAGTTTATTGGATAGAAATTGAACTGTTGGCCTGGTACAGTTGCTCATGTCTGTAATCCCGGCAGTTTGGGAGGCCAAGACAGGTGAATAGCTTGAGCTCAGGAGTTGGAGACTAGCCTGGACAACATAGCAAGACCCTGTCTCAAAAATACATAAATAAATTAATTAAAATTATAAAAAACGAAATTGAACTGTTTTGATCACTAAGCATGCTGGATTGAGTCCAATTCACCTCCTTTTCCCGTCCCCTTTAGTCCCCAGGAGAAAGAATAAGGAATAAAGTGGCCCACAAGCTCGCAAAGTAGAGGGTCAAAGGTAAACAGTGAACATACAGGTCTCTCATTCACCCAAAAAGCACATATGCACAGCTGTATACTAGGTAGTGGTGGCGCAAGAAGAGAAATGCCAAAATAGAGGATAATTTTCTGCTCCTGACAGCTGAGAATTTACTGTGTCTAACATTGTTTTTTACATAAAAATGAACATAATAGATGCTTAAAATGTGTTGAATGACTTACACATTTGCTTTTTACATGTCTTATTTCCTATCTCTTGATTTAGTGCTTTCTGTTGGATGTTTTTACGCTAGGAAGTTTCTGTACTACAACAGAGCACATCTACAAAACATTTAATCCGATTCATTTCATTGCATGCCTAATCGATAAAGAGTAATGCATAAAGACACATTCTGCATGATCATGTAGTTGCTTTTCTTGGATTATAGCACTTGAATCTTCCAGCCTCCAAAGTATCACTTTAAAGTCCGTACTCAAACTGCCAAACAATAGTTTGCTCATTTTCTTAATCTGAGCAACAGATTATGGAGTTAAGTGAGGCAAGAAATCCCTTGATCAATAAATTGAGATGGAGTCATAATGAAAACACAATTTTAAAATCTCTTAACACAAAGTAGTTATCGAAATCCTCAATACACATCAAGATTCTTTGTTTAAGCTGTGTGTGAAAATGGTACAGATTTGGGCTGCAGGGTGAAATAGGTTCATACTAACAAGAAACCCAGGGAGCTTCTAGGGCCTAGGGCTCTTCTCCTCCACCTCCAACCCCCAAATAGTGTTGGACAGTCCATTTTGTGTTTATATCCTTTCTCCTAGTTTAATTGTGCACGTATATACCAAACACAAAAATATGTACACAGTTACTGTAAGGGGTTTTTACACTTCAGTTTTAGCGGACTAAAAAGAGATGACCAGGAAACTGTATACTAGGTAAAAGATTTAAAGAGTTGAGGTGTGTGCTCAAGATGAGCTAACAGGGGAGAGAGAACCAGAGTGGAGTGGAGCAGGGCAGTGGGGGGAAAGGACGTTGAACAGTGTAACCAAACCCAGTTAGAGACTTAAGACAAAACATCAGCTGGGATTTGGGGAAAAAGAAGAGAGAGAGAGAGAGAGAGAAATAAGGCTGGATGACCATAAAAGGCTAATTTGAGAAGATTTCTGGGCATCAGGTTGGGATGAGGAAGCAAGGATTGCAGAAATGGAAGGGGCTTCTATGCACACAGCTTCTGCCCGGTACAGCTCAGCTCAGGTTAGCACTCTGCCTTGTTAAAAGACAGCAGGAGGCGGGAGCTCTGGCCTTGAAGAGAAGGAATGGCACAGCAGCAGAAACAATGTTACATGAACAACAGATCAAGTTTTCTGGGAAAGTCAAGCCCAACGTGGGAGTTCCTGAGAGGAGTGACAGTCTAACTCATGCCAGAGATCTTAAGCAGTCACACAGAGAGAAAACAGCTTGGGCAGATTGGTTCACACAGTACCTTAGCAGGCAGGGACTGAGAACAAAAGGTCATTAAGTTACAGAGAATGTTACCAAAATGCAAAGAACACTAAAAGTAATTTCTGATTGTACCCAGTAATAAATTTTTGCTCTGAAATTGCCGCAATTTAATTAGCTCCAAGGCTCTTGTTGGGAGGTGTTCTAGGGCAGGCCAAGAGACAAAGACTGATTTGCTTTGGAACTGTGGGCGGGTGGATGGGGGTAGTGTGTGTGAAGGTGAGGGTAGAGGCTGGCCTGGGAAGGGGGATAAGGAACAGACTCAGAAAAACAGGAAATAATTAACTTGAAAGCCTGACAGAGAAAGACCACGTGACAATCTCAAGAAGCGATGGCGAGCTCACAGCCTCTCAAGATCCACACAAATCACTTTGTAAAAGGATGCCAAACTAAAAACTGCCCAAGTGCTTGGAAAAAGGACCTCCCTGGTTTAAGCAGCTGTTGGGGAAAAGCCAAACGTAAAATAATGTCATGTCATGTAACCTAACGTTCTGGGAGTAATTAGCAGAGCTCTGCAAAAGCAGATCTAATATGAAGGAAAGTTCATTTCTTGTTCTATCATGATGGAATAGTGCGGGATGGTTTCCCACACTTCAGATAAGTGAGACACGTATTTGTGATTTTTGGCATGTCTGAATATTTCCTATACTGTTAATATTTTTCTTTAAATTGCTTTTTAAATTTAAGCACATTTATTTTAGGAGAAACCTTTCAATCATTCCTATAAGTGGAAAATTAGTATCAATTTCCTAAAATGAAAGATAATTGTGAAAACTATTAGTAAAAATATATAACTAGCTTAAAAAATATAAATATATTCAAATTTCTTCCAGAGTTATCTTGTTTACCAGTGGTGATGATAGGCACTGATAGGCATAGATATTACTTAGACATCTGAAATACAAGAAGCTCTTTGGGAAATTATTGATTTTAGGGATTCTAGCCCATTCTTAGGGTGTTTTTCCCACCAGGTTAGCAACTCCTTAGAGGATTTTGAAATTGATATAATGGGTTACAGTAATGGGTTACAGACCACATTTTTTAAAAAAGAAAAAGACAATGGAGTAGAGAATGTCTGTTTACTGCACACAATATGTGGGCATGTGTTGTTTTGCAAAATTTTTACTTCTTCAATTGTATATATATCTATCATATGGTAGTGATGTAAAAGGTATTTCAGTGGCCCCTGCTGTGGGCCATGATCGAAATATTTAAAAGTCACTGCTATAATCTGTGTTCATATTTCATGCTTCTGTGTATTGGTGGCACTGAACAGCCAAGGCTGGGGTGCAGCAGGCAGGGACTGAGAGCAAAAGGTCATTAAGTTACAGAGAATGTTACCATAAAGCAAAGAACTCTGAAAGTAATTTCTGATTGTACCCAGAAATTACTTTTAATTTGTAGCTAAAATTATATATGGCTCATCATAGTCTCAACCTGCTGGACTCTAGTGATTCTCTCGCCGTAGCCTTTCAAATAGCTGTGATTACAGGCCAATGCCACCATGCCCAGCTAATTTAAAAAAATTTGTAGACACAGGTTCTTGTTGCCCAGACTGATCTTAATTCCTGAGCTCAAGCCATCCTCCAGCCTTGCCTTCCCAAAGTGCTAGGATTGCAGGCATGAGCTGTTGCACCTGGCCAAGAGTGGTTGGTATAAAGACATGGAGCAACATTTAAAAACCAAGAGATTTTACACAAAATTCTAGATTTCTGGCTTCAAGTGGTACAAAGAGGGGTCTCCTCTAGGGTTATTTGTTCCATTCTTTTTTTTTTTTGACGGAGTTTCGCTCTTGTTACCCAGGCTGGAGTGCAATGGCGCCATCTCGGCTCACCGCAACCTCCGCCTCCTGGGTTCAGGCAATTCTCCTGCCTCAGCCTCCTGAGTAGCTGGGATTACAGGCACATGCCACCATGCCCAGCTGATTTTTTGTATTTTTAGTAGAGATGGGGTTTCACCATGTCGACCAGGATGATCTCAAACTCTCGACCTCGTGATCCACCCGCCTCGGCCTCCCAAAGTGCTGGGATTACAGGCTTGAGCCACCGCGCCCGGCCCTATTTGTTCCATTCTTAGAGGCAGACCTATGGGTTAAGTTGGGACCAAGTCCCAAATCCCTCTGCCTCTGGAGGGCTGGAGGGAAACAAACAAACAAAAAACCAAAAACAAAGAGGGGTCTCCCACTTATGCTTACAGGGACTAGGTGGGTAACTGAAGTAAGTGAATCAGGTCCATTTTCCTAGCTTTTATAGAGCCTTGGCATTGGAGAAATATTTCTTTTTTTTTTTTTTTTTTTTTTTTTTGTGAGATGGAGTTTCGCTCTTGTTACC